ATATTAAATTATCTTTATATTATGTATATTTTTGTTTTTGTAAGTAATTAATTGTTTGTAATTAGTTGTATTGCTTTTTTAATAATGTGCAATATTTTTTCGTTATATGGATTCTGGTAAGGTTGTTGGCAGTTTTCCTTACTCAAGCAACAAATGTTGGTATCCAATGAGATTTCTGCCTAATAAATAACTTTTTTTAACGCAATTTTGTTTATTTGTAAAGTGATTTTACCTATATTCTTTTTCTTTATTTTTATACACTGTATATTATTGTATATTTTATCTTTGTAATATAATAAGATAATAGTAATAAATTCAATTGTATTAGTAATAACTAACTTTATGTAAATATATATTTTGTATTATAAACGTGTGTCACCTTTATATTTACATTTTTTTAAAAATTTTTAAATGAAATAATCGGTTCCAGTGACAGTACCCCATATTACTTGTTTTAGATACTTTTGTGACGTTATAAACGCCGCGCATGCGCGTACAGCCTCTCCAATATCGGAACACTGACACTAACTCGCGTGGTGTTGAATCTCGTGTCCTCGTGATTCGATCAGTCGATCACGAACAATCGTACAACTTGAGTCTGCGTTGATATTTTTAGTGCGAGATTTCCGCGTCGGAGCCCGTCATTTCCTCAATGTGGTTGATAAAACGCGTCGCACGTCGGTTTGTTTCTCAATTGAGGACGCGAAAGCTTTATCAAAACCAATTCAATAATTTACGTAAGAAAAGTTCAGTGCATTTACAGAAGTAACAGTGCGCACACATCAGAAAAAGATACTTAACAATTGTGGGGTATTGTATTACACAGCGTCTTAGAATTTTTTTTTTTTCTACGTTGCAAAGCAAATTTATAGACAAATCGAAGAGTTGTCTCATATATATATTGTAAAATGCACGTCACCTCTTACTTATAGACTGTCATCTTTCTTGACTATAGACAGAACGTGTTATCTGTAAAGTTAGTTATCTTTACTCAAACTGAGTGAAGTTACTTAAAACCGTATTTTAACACAATAGTTTTACACATATTTGAGTTTATAATAAAAAAATAAATCTTATATTAAAAGTATAATTAAATTGCACTTACGAAAACATCTTACGTATATAATAAAAAATGTTGACATGAAGCTCTTGTTATTAGAAAAAAAAACTATACACAACACATCTAATGTTATCATTGTACATGTATCACTCTAAGAATTTTGAATATACATTTATCTTATGTATTTTAATAATCTACATACCAATACACAGTGTCTGTCGGTTTAAGGTTTTGTGATTATAAAAAAAAATCGTAAAACTGCGTCGTGAAATATTTGTAAATAATTTGTGTGAAGTTTTTTTTTTTTTTTTTAACAAATATCGATTGCGAATCTTACAATAATACAGGAATATTTTATTGTTAAACATTTCTAAGAAAAGCATGTAATGCAATAATTTACAATAGAAATTATTATTTTTGGAATCTCAGACGCGACAAGGTACTCGATTTTCGTGTCATCCCGAGCAGACGACATGAATAACGTAAACGATTCATACCTGAGACACTTGTTTGACGGCGATCCGGTGTTCAATGTCTATAATCATGAAGCCACGAACTTGTCAGTCGGTGCACCTGGCCCTGATCTACTGAAAAACTGCACCGAAATGTTGACCAAGTCTACGCGACATAGATTAGTAAGATTAATTATTTACAGTATTCGCGATTTCATCGAATCAATCAATTATGCCGCTTAATATACAATGGAATTTTTGTCTCTCTGCGTAATACGGTATCTTTGAGAACGCGTGTTATTATCTTCAATGAGTGTCGAAGATAAAATACATGGATACATGTATTTAAGAAGACATTATTTAAGAGTTTACTTTATAAAGGGGAAAAAACAAAAGCCCTGAAAAATTTTTATCGACACTTTGCAATGTCATTCACGCTAAATGAAACTTAATATTGCTTTAGGAGGAGGAAGAAAAAGAAGGAAAATATTATCTCTTTCAATATGGTATTACGGCTGGTTTGTGGGAATGTCGCGATGAATTAGCTAAATTTTTGAGCAGACGATACGGTAACGCTGTAAAGAGAGAGCATCTGATACTGACGTGCGGAGCTTCGCACGGTCTGCAATTATTGTTGAATACCATACTCTCACCGAACGGTGTTATATTTGTAGAAGAAGTTACTTACATGATCGCACTCGATGCTTTTAAGCAATTTCCGCTGATGAAAGTGGTTACAGGTGCTCAACAAATTTTTATCAGTAATCAATTCGTAATCAATTTTCTATCTCGTAATCAATTTTTTTCAACATATTTTTAAAAATAATAAAGAATACTTTTTTTTTATCTGATCTTACGCGCCAAATAAAAACGATCTCTTATTGTTATAGTGCCAATGAAGGATGACGTAGTAGATTTAGACGCGTTCGAAAAAATAGTGGCTGAAGAAAAGGCAAAAGGCAACTTTCTTGTGAACAATCAGAAAATATTCTGGGCAATGTTCTATACCATACCGATTTTTCATAATCCAACTGGAATGACATTATCACCTGGTGATTCAAACATGATATATGACAGATCTCCTTACGTAGCTGCAATCGTACGCCAGTATTATTCTTCCTATCATAAGAACGCAAATCACTTCAGTTTTATTTCTTGGCAGATCAGTGCAAACGTTTGGTGGAAATTGCGCGAAACAATTCCATAGTGGTGGCCTGCGACGACGTGTACAATCTGCTTTATTACGGGCAAGGATTGCCGCCATTGCGCTTATTTTCTTATGACAATCCGGAAGATCCGAACTACAAAGGAGGAAACATTGTGTCGAACTGTTCCTTCTCTAAAATCCTTTCGCCAGCAATTCGCTTTGGATGGATCGAAGGCGGATCGCGTATTGTCAATACGATAAAGACATCGTGAGTCGTGACAAAAAAATCTCATCGCTTTGCAAAAACTACTTGTACGTAAAATTAACAAAACTTTTCTATTTAATTGAATATGCGTTTTTATAGAGGCGTAATGTGCAGCGGTGGCGCAGTCAACCATTACGTTTCTGGACTAATTGCAAGCATGCTTCACGAAAATATTGAGGATGAGTACCTTGACAAGATTATAAAGATATACAGGGTGCGTTTATCAGTTTTAAAAAAAAGTATATATCGTTATATCAAAAACAAATTGCTTTGTGAAAGATGATTTTAATGACTTGATATCAGGAACGATTAGATACGCTATGCGCAACTTTGGATCGATTTTTGCCGAGCTGTTGTTCATATCGACGACCAGGAGGCGGTTACTTCGTTTGGCTTCATCTCCCTTCAGGTATAACGAGTTCTCTTCTTTTTTATGTAAAAATAATGATTTAGGGTATAGTATACGCGCGTAGAAATTTTATAATTCTAAAATTTTTAAATTGTGATTCTATTTATTATAAACATTTTTAATTTTTGCAGATGTGGATGGCACCAAGTTCGTCTCGTGGTGTCAGAAGGAATACAAAGTATCGGCAATACCAGGAGTTCGATTTTCATATACAGGGGAAGCAAAGAATTTTTTACGTCTGAGCATAGGTTTCCATACGAAAGAAGTTTTAGAGACTGCAGCACAAACCTTGTGCAAGGCACTTTTAGTATATATTAGACAAAAACTTGATAAAACCGATAGTAATAATTCTTATTGAAGTTTGGAGTGTTTTCTTAAATTTCTCTACGATAGAAGCAAAAGATAAATTTTTATTTTAGTTGATAAAAATTCCAAACTTCAACATAATAATTCGAAAACACATTGACTTGACTTTTAAAACACATAACTTTGGCTTTTAACTGAGTGACTGAAAAAAAGAGAACATTGGTATGTGCATGTTTCCTGTTCTCTCTTTTATGTATACTGATTTTAATATTATTTAATTTAAATATATAATGATGATTAGAAAATATATACATATATAACTCGAAGAAAAGTATAGTGCATGCAATGAAAAGTATATTCAGTAAACATATACGTAAGACATTAAAAAAAAGTATTTTATGGCATATACATTTTATATATATTTTATATGACTTGCAAATTTAATGTTTTAAATTGTATAAGTTTGTTATGCATCATAATAGTATTAAATATTGAAAGAGGAGCAAACATATAAACATAAGTGTACAATAAGTGTACAATTGATTTATTGTACAATTAAATGGTTTTGTACATTATCTGCAATTTATATGTAAATATTCCAAATAAAAATTTATATAAATTGTTACAACAAAACGATTTTAGTCAGAATCACCTAACAATTCTTTTGTTTTAGTTTCTAACATTTCTTCAGCCATGCCCATATATTGATGACTAAGAGCATCTATGTAAGTCTCTATCCTAAATATCAAATCCTTAGCTAGGTTTGGCTTGCTTTTTAACGTCTTAATTTCTTTGTTGCGTACATCCCTGATGTTGTTGCAGCATTTCACATAAAAACTTTTTGCATTCTTAGATAAAGTTTCTCTGTATTCCTTAGTTACTCTGTTGATGTAGAAATGTAAATAGTTTTATTTACGCCAAGAACAACTACAGATGTTAGATTACATAAAAATAAAGTTGTGTTCTTTTATAAGAGAAATAGATTTAAACATTTTCTAATATTTCTTACTTTTACTACAGCACATATTCTAAAAAACTTACTTTGGAATAGGAACGTAAAGTGTAGTCCCTTCTTGTTGTGGATTTAAATTCATCTGATTTTTTTGAAGACTCTTCAGAATATCAGGAATAGCTTGTGGAAAAGTGGACACATTCAAAACTATTATTTTGGGCTTACGACTGATTTGTGCAAGTTCTTGCAACATATAATCTTTACCCTCAAACTTCACAGTTAACTCTTCAATGGCACCTATACTGGATCTTAATGACAAATGTTTGATGAAGTCATTTTTCAAGATATCAATTGTTTTCTCAAATTGAGCAGTTAGCTTATCAACATCAAGAACTTGACTCATTTCATTATAGTCAATGTGGATTGGTTTTTGTTTCTTTTTGTCTTTGCCACGATCTTTGCCTTTAGCTAATACACAGGTCATAGAAAATTCTCTCATGTTATCTGCTTTGACATAATTGTGTGGCGAGAAATATGATATATTACTGTGCTGCATATTTTGTAGACATCCTTGCTGATTCTTCAAACATGTTCCTTTAGAGGTAGAAAAATAAACACAGTTTCTAACCGGTCTTAATGCAGAGATCATTGCATATCTTTGCTGAGTATTAGCAAAGGAACGTATGACTATTGTATTTCCCATTTTCAATGTGGTTAGACAAAGCATTAGAAGAAGATTGTGTAGTACTTGTATTAAAATATTGATATTATAGTACACACATCACTCTTATTATATTAAAATATATAAAATATATGTTAGAATATCCTATATTTTTCCGTTGTTTTTTATAACAATATTATCTTTAATCACTTGCGTGGATAAATTTGTAACTATTTGATACACATCACATCATATTTCACGTACTGCGTTGAAGGTTAGGATGTTGAACGTTTGTTTACCTCAATAAATATGCAACATTTAGTTGTATATAACTAAAATATCGTTATTTATATTTTTGTTACTAATTTTCGATCTAATTCTGATTGAAATTAATAATCTAGCCTATCGATTGTTAACTGACATATTAATGTGAATATTGATACTTTAAATAAAATTCAGAATTACCGCCAAATGCCGGATACACTTCAAGGGCTGCGTTCCGTTTCACGCATATGCGCGCATTTATCTATACTATACGTAACGTGTACTATAGATACACGCGCGCATATGCGTGAAACGGAACGCAGCCAAGATAATGTCCAAGCGGCGTTACAAACGATCTGTAAGTCTCGTTTTATCTTCGTCTTTATTTCATAAAGAGTAAAGACAAATGATCTAAAAACGCTTCAAAGCATTTGTAGCATCTGACTTGAATTTTATTTTATATTTTCTCTTCGCGAAATATTTGCGCAGCACTTTTCATTGAGCCGCTATAACTACATGATAGTAAGGTTATATTGGCTTCAACAAAAGTAAGGTAAAGTATGTTGTACTTAACAATTTCTAAAATTGGATTTATATTATTTAACTCCGATTGAAAGTGCAATACAATGTAAAAGTACAGAATTGATTACCAATATGGTATATTGATTTCTACTTTTCTGTTGCTCTATTGCCATTATTGTTGCATTTCAGATGTTTTGAGCTACAAATATATAATGCTACAAATTGATGTTATGAGCTAATAAACAAATTATAATGTATATTGTGATATAAATAAATAATCAAAAAATCTAAAACATATTTGAGACAATAACTACTTGTAACTACTTTTTGTCTTGTTTTTTTATTTGTAAGATATTGTGAGATAAATAGAACTGTGATTGTTTTTCATTATGTGATTTCAGAATCTCTGTATATTGAGAAGAAGCATCAATGTTTAATACATTGTAATTATTGAAAGTAAAACAAAGCATCTCCATATATCTACTTTGATAATATGAATAAAACACCTGTTTCCATTCTCCAAGAAATGATGGTGAAGCAGGGTATGACACCTGATTATGAATTGATATATGATGGAGGAGGGAGTCATGTAAATACCTTTACATATCAAGTTACATGTGATGGTCTCAAAGCTACTGGCACAGGTCGTTGTAAAAAAGATGCTAAACACGAGGCTGCTAAAGCTATGTTAACAGAAATTGCTGCACATAGGAACTATCCACAATTGCCACCTGCCAGTAACCCAATAGATTCTCCTTCCAGATCACCTTTTCGCTCAATACCAGTAGCTCCAAAACAATCCAATGCTCCATTTGTTAATGCCATAGGTGAATTACAGGTAATTTTTCTTATGATAATATATAGAATAAATCTGTATATATATTTACAGATTAGATTTCTTTAGTATTTTAGAAATTTAAGTTTTTTTGTTTCTTAAAAAGAATAAGAGCTGTGTTGATTGACATTCCGATAAGCATAATTGATTTTTGTACATTTTTTTTAAGGATCTATGTGCAGAAAATAACCTACAGGAGCCACAATATCTTCTTATTCGAGATCTTGGCCCACCACATGCCAGAATTTTCACCATTCGATGTATAGTATCTAATTTTACAGAAGATGGAACTTCGACTACCAAAAAATTAGCAAAACACGATGCTGCCAAAAAAATGGTTGAAAGAATAAAAGGACTTATAATACAAAATGGCTTAAATGAAGATGAAGATGAAACATGTACAGTCTCATCTACAGAAACAGACTCAGTTAATAATGCAAAAGAGTATTATCGTGCCTTAACCAAAACAACAAGAAAGATTAATCTTGGCATTAGATTATCAGAATATCATGTAAAATGGGGAGATTCTTTAGAATCTGCTCAGCGCAATAAAATATTAGAACAATTAAGTAATATTATTGTTGAGGAGGATTTCTCAGATGATATTACTATAGAAGTAATAAAAGAAACACTATCAAAATTAGAAACAATACTTTCCGAAGTCAATGTAATAATTAATATGAAAGATCTCGCGGCGGATAATAATTATTTTATGAAAACAATAGAACTCAACACTTGTCCTATTCTTACTCAAATTGGTATCGGAAAAAGTAGTACAGAAGCTACTTGGAAAGCATTATGTCTAATGATAAATTCTGTCAAGTTGATCTTGTCTCAATAGAGAACAAGTGTTTTAGAGATTTATTCAATAAAGAGAATAAATCTCTTTAAAAACAATACGGGAATATAAACTACTATAAATGAACAAACTAATAGAAATATTTCTGACGTTTATGTTATTATTAACAATTAGTGGTTGAATAAAAACCAAACGGTTTAAAGAATCGGTTTAATTTCACATTAGATACTTATGGTTTTATAGTTTTACGTAAGATATTTTATACGGACAAAAAAGATGTTTAAGTTGAGTCTTAAGTTTTTGAATATTTTCAGTCTGGTCAATTTTTAGTTCGTACTTCTGAGTATACATTTGTACAAAAACTTTTCAAGGATTTTTTTGTGATTTATATTTTCAAGTTTATTTTTATAAAATTCGATATTTTTCTACTATTCTATTAGAATATATCTAGAAAATTTACAATTTAGTTGATTTTTCTTAATATATAATTTTAATATATATTTTATATAAGTTGATGTTTATTTTGAAAGACTGTTAATTCGTGATGTGTAAAATAATATGAATTGATTTTACACTTACAACGTCTAGTATACATAGATAATAAACAAATGATATAAGATTGATGATATGTAAGTCGATAAATTTGAAAAAACGTATAGCAAATAGACAAATTTCTTGAACATATTTCTATATGTTATTTCTATTTTGTTTATAAGTCAAGTTATGGCACGTCACGTTTTCTTGTATTGATGCGTAATGAGATTTTGGGACGAGATGTCTGATGCATTCTAATGTAAGTATTTATGATATTATATTTATAACATAATATGTACAAGCAATGCTTTTGTACATAAAAAACTTACATCAATAATTGCTACTGTCTGTATGCATATTCAATAAAATGTTTGTACATTTTATATCTTTATTTGATATCGCACAACAGAGCTACACCTCGAAGTGTCCAATGACGAGGATTATAATCCGTCTCAAAATCGATAGAACCCACATATTTTGCGTCCGTTCTTTGAGGTTTTCTATATATAGGACATTCGTACAATTTGGGATCTTTGCCAGCGGTTGTGTTTATCGCGAAAATATAAATAACTGGCATTTGTTCGTACAAAACTTTCGGTCTGCTCTCAATAAGCTTCCCCGATTTTCGATCGAGCGACGCACCTTCCAAAAACAAGCCATGAACGTAGACTCCTTCTTGCGGCTGATTTTTAATATCCTCCTTGTTGTAACGAGTAATTACGTTTTGCAAAACCACAGAGTCTAAAGCCCATCCTTTATGTGCTCGAGTTACTTCCTAAAGTTAAATCATATAAACTTGAAAATAATTTACATATATATGCATATATGTATATATGTACGTAACACATATACAATGTATATACGTATAATATTAATATTACAGTTTGTAAATATGTGAATAAAAAACAGCTATAAGATGACAATTAAAAAAAATTTTTTTCTGGACTCAATTCTCACCTGTCTCATTGCCGTTAAAAATCCCTGTGGGTTAAAAAATCCCGTCATCCAAAATACTTTCGGACGACCATGACAGCACCATTGTCTAAACTGATAATCTCTCTCCAAGAGTTCCGTATACCAGAAACCTAACGTCGCCGATTCCCAAGATATTTTTAACCACTTTTCGGGAATACGCGCGTCATACATCGCATCTAATGATTTTCGCAGACCTTGACTCATCACGATAGTACCCTCAATAGCTAATTTCAAATCCGTCAAAGTACCTCGTACCTCTTTAATAACTCTCGAAATGCTATAAAAAAATAGTTATAAAAAAAAACTGATTTATTTTATAGTTTATTCCATATTTTCTGTAATATTTACATGTTTAACTATTTGCTCCACAAGTGTATCTAATTGAGACATTATTTTCATAAGTGTGATAAAAAAAAAAATCGAGAAAACAAATACTTTACCGATCTATTTCTTGTCTCAGAAAAATATTCATTGGCATCAACGGTCCCATTCTTTGAAGTGCCTCTTTTACCTCAAAGGAATTATATTGTTTAGGTAATTTCGAGAGCATGTCGTCGGCTAATTTGTACACGACATTCTCTCTGGTTTCACCTCCCTGTGCGCCACCCTCTTTCGGTTGCACACTGAGAATAGTATCAAGTATTCCCTTTGCCGTGTTGATCTGATACGTGATATCGGCATTTGGATGTAATCCAAACACTTCCGGCGTATCGGTAGCCGGTAGACTGTCAATGTAATCTATATATCCCTGAAGATTTCTCGTTTGAGGAACTTTGTATCCGCGAAAAAATTCGAAGCCCGGTCGCAAGAGCACGTCACAAAACCAGACGTGTGTAAACGTTGTTAACAACCGTTTGTCAAAGTCGTCTGTAACTCGACCTCCGTATTGAACCTGTAGAGATAATTGCATTGTATCTGTACGTAATAAAAACCGTAATGTCATATATTATACAATTTGTGTTTCGTATTTACCAAAAATACAAAAAAGTGAACGAGAAAAATAAAAGACTTCCCCGAGCATTGCAAGACATTGCAGTGTCATTACACAGTTTGTTTACTAAAAAAATGAAAGAGCAAAGAACGAGAGAAATAAGAGACCTCTCCGAGCATGTAGCAGACAGTCGGCCAGGAAACCCCCTTTTTAGGATCCATATCGTCAAGGTGATTTTGTATAAATTGAACCGACGCTGCAAAGTCAGCCTGATTGAACTCGTAAGGTATGTTCCAGCCGAGCGGGCCGAATTTTCTTCTTTCCTGCACTACGGTGTGTAAAAACGCAACAGCGTATAACAGGGGTGGCCACTGCGATTGAGTACTGTAATCCAACGCGTCCTGAGTCGTAGCTTGATAAGTTCTCTTCAAGCTAGCTCTTATGCCCTGAGGTGGTTCGTTTGTGAATTTTATTGCTATCTGAAACACACATTTCCTCGAATTTGTAAAATGTGTAATTTGCAAAAATTGATGTGCGCTCTTACGTATTTGAAAATTGCAAAAGTGCAACCTGCAGTAAGCCGATGGGAAACTGAGCGTGCACTTCGGTTGTCATCCAGAGTCTGAACACTTCGTGAACAGTTTCGGTTTCGACAAGAGCGTCCATCACTTCCGTGCAAAAAGGTAACGATAGATGAATATTCTGCAAGAGAACCCAACCGCCCGTGCTCATAGCTTCGTTGATCATTCTCCGAGCGTGAAACTCTTGACCTTGTCCCATAGATACCGAATTTAATGCTACGAGAAATATTAAAACTAAGAATTACAGAGAGAAACGTGCATTGATAAAGATCTTCCAAAACCAAAAATTAATTACGTACAGATCGTTTTCTGTTTAGCAAGAGCTGTAATCTGAGGACTCGGGTCGGATCCTATAGATAACAAACATATAAGTGGCGACCTAGGCTCGGATTCCAGCCACGTTGCTTCCAAGTCCAATATTTTGGCCTCGCCGTATTCTTTGCCCAATGATTCGGCGATGTACTTTCTTGCCTGGGACAGCGTTCTGTCCGGACTCCACGATCTGATGAGCAGTAATTTGCGAAACACATCGAGACTCTTTTGATATCCGCAAGGTAAGTCTTCCTCCTCCGGTTTCTCCTTCTCGTACCATACTCTCCATTCCTTTTCGCTAAACTCGATTTTCGTCAAAATATCCGAGAACACCTCCAGTTTGCTTATCTCGACTAAATTCAGCCACGTTATATCAAGTATCCACTTAAACGGTTTTGGCGTCACCGCGTTGAGATCCAAGGACGCGCCGCCCTTTATGAAGGCGTTGAATTCTGCGTGAGAAATCACATCTTTGTGACAGTCTATCTTCATGGCTAGCATCAGCGTAAATAGAGATTTGTGTCTCTCGTAGAGACTTCTCAGAGTGAACGCCCACACTTCGTACGTGAGATGTCGCAGAATTATGTTTATTCGCTCGGAAGTAATGGGACTCTTTGTAGATTTTGTGATCGAGTTGTCGAAGATTGTCAGAAATTGTCTCAACGAATTTTGATACATCACGTTAACGTTGCTCAATTCAACGATCAGGAAATATAAGATGGATCCTCTTGCCGCGACTGCGCGAAATTCCTCGCGTGCCAGAGTAATCTTCTTCTCGGTAAGTGCTGACACTTGCAGCTTTTCATTCACCGATTCGGCTGTGGTCTTGGTTTCTTGAAGAACGGTTATTAACGCTTCATCGTCGACCAAAGAGCCCTCCGAAGACGTGAGTCTGTGTAACAGTGTACTTTCGAGATCTTTCATCGAACGCTGATTGGTCATGACCGATTCGAATAAAGCGACTCTCTCCGCTTCAAGATCGGCTTTTTCCATAAGTATCACTCGACCCAACAGCTGATCTTCCAGACCTAACATTGTCACGGTAAAGTCGATAATCGATGTCTTTGCGGATATTTCCGGGCTGTACGCTGGGTTTGGCAACTTCGTGGTAATGTACAACATAAATCCCGGCATCACGTCGCACTCCTTATCCCCGACTATGACCTTCTCGATGGAGCCTGATTTAATGAAATTCTTCTCGAGTACGTTGTCCAGTACGGGATCGAGCTCTTCCGCGACGTCCTCGATCAGCAACGGTCTACCCAGTGAAAGACTGTCCTCAAGATGAGTCCGAAAGTATTTATGATTCAGCGAAGTGATCTGCAACTCGTTGGTGCTCTCTTTATTCTTGATCCACATCTTACCTTGATTCTGAGGATCCACAAGAAGTGGATAGGACGAAGATTTGGTGACGATAAGCGCATTCTGCACGGACAACTCGTCGTTCGGCAATCCCTGCAGCGTCCATTCCGACGTTGTTGCGGAATCGACGAGCATATTTGTTATATTTAGATTCTTAGTGAAAGGTATAGACTTGATGGTCAGTATGTTCATCCACGCGGTTACTAAACTTGCGCGAAACTGTTGATTGTAAGGTCCGCAATATGATAAGAATCCAGTTCCCAACAGCACATCTCCCACTAAACGTCCTAGTTGAATCTTAAAATCTCCGCTTTGCTCGGTCCACCGTATCTTCTCGCCGCCTAATCCGTTTATCAGAGCGGTAGCTGCCGTCATCTTTCTCAGGCACACGTTCGCGGCTTCCGTTAATCTTTGCTTCTCCGTTACGGCGTTATCGTATTGCTCTTTAACTGCCTGCAGAGCCATCTCTCTCTCGGATAACTCTCTCTCAGCGTTCGCCAGATCTTCCATGGCGAGCTTCAATCGTGCTTCCTGCAGTGCCAAATTGGCTTTCAACGGAAGTACTTCCTTGTTGACGGAGTGAAAAAATGCCATGGCCTTGGTCCACGATAATAAACCAGCCACGTCGCCGCAAACTCGCCTAGCTGTTTCCATGTTGTAATCCTCCATTTTGAAGTAAGGCTGTAGTAACTCGATTATTTCGTTATTGATTATATCTTTTGGATAATTTTGCAATTGCAATAAGAACGTCGTACTAGCCATGAGTTTCAAAGACTCCGCCCATGAAGGTTTAGGACAAGGGGCGGCAGTATCGGGCACAACAGACCCGATTTTACGTTGAAACAGAATCAACACACAGTCCATGATTCTCATTATGAGATGAGGTGGTCTACCTAATTTTCTCACTGTTGCTATGTGAGCAGGTTTGATGGTGTTTAAAGCAGCCTCCGCTTCTTCTAATGCCGGTTTTGCAGCTTCCAGCTTTTGCTCGGCCAACGCTTTTTCATCAGCTATGCAAGCTACCAGTTGCTCCGCTTTTTCCTTCACTTTTTGCACTTGATTCTTGAAAGCTTCAGCTTGCATAGCTCTTTCTGTTACCTCCAAGAGTACTGTCTCGGCTTTCTCGGATGCTTGAACTAGTTCTTTCTCCATTACGGCCAAGTCTTTCTTGAGAATCTCAACTGATATGGACGCCTCTTCAAGTTTTGCTAAACCAGTATCCATTCTCTTGGCTCCTTCGCCGAGCTCGTGTTGCTTAGATCGATAGATATTTTTGTATCCACCGATAAAATTCAAATACGACTTCGGAGTCACGTGAGTAGCGCGTCGAAATCTTTGGAAGTATTCGACAGACGTTTCCGAAACAATATCCTGTATGGAACCGAGCGCGTTTACCAGTTCAGCTTTTACGTCGCTAGTACAGGCGATTTCAAAATCATGAAGAAAATGTTTCGCAACCAAAATCAAAGCGTCCTTGGGCCACGGTTGAAACCAGTCTATAGTGCAGCCCGAAATGAGCGCCGGGAAACGCTGCGCGCGATTCCGAAACTTCTCACCTACGGGAGAAAAGCAGAAAACAACGTGCAGATTCTGACAAGTTCTTTGAAGAAAGAAATCCATCACCAGTTCGTTATTAAGAGTTTTTTTTGGATTTTCTCGTCTCAAGATAGGTGTTAATTCTGAAATAATCTCCGCTTGCTCGTCACGCGTGAATAAGTTGCTGATAACTCCAGAGCTTAGAATATTGTTCAGATATTCAAGAAATCCTTCCTCCTTGATATCCAAATCGGTGAATATAAACGTTGTGCCTTTTCCCTGAGCGCCACAGGTACGATATAAAAATTTGAGATCTTCTAAGAAATTTGCTACGTTATAGGATCTTGTCAAAGTGATTTGGAACGTTTTGTAACCGGCAATAAAGGAGGACAGCTTTGTAAGACTCTGTTTGCCAGATCCGCCGACACCTACTAACATCACGTTGCCCTTCGGGTGTCTTATAACTCTAGATATTTTTACTAAATGCAACATGGCGTCAGGGAAAAATACTAGATCCATTCCAGCACCTCTTTGCATTTCGTTGAATTGCGCTAGAAACATATCTAATCTCTCTTGCAACACTTGAGGATTGTAAACAGGTTCATACACCTTGGGAAGTTCCACATCCGCGTCTTCACCTTCCTCACCGGTTGGTTCTGGAGCATCTCTGTAATTAAATTAACGCGATAGTAATGTAGCAAAAAATATTCCATTTATATTCAATTTATAATGTTGCTTTATTATTTTTGGTGTTTTATTATTATATTACTATGCACCTCATAAAATCGACAAATGCAGGATCCTTATCCAGCATGTTCACGTACTTCTCTCCTAAAATATCACCTACGACACGAATTACTTCTTCATCAAACCAATTTTTGTCGCTTTGTAGCGTGAATCTGTCACTGAACACCCGCGTACATTCGTGCTTCCAAAGTAGCATCAATACGCTATCCTTGTCAATGACCGTCGACAATGTACCGACCATTCCTTGCCAGATTCTTGAGAGATCTCGAAGACTGAAGACATAATGAAACTTCGCAGGAGTCGGTAGCAGCTTTATGCGGGTTTTTTCCCAGAGTATTCTGGTCAGAGGAACCATTTTCTTAACAAGTTGACGTATATCTTGCGAGAATCCTCTCTTGACATTGTAGTGACCTTCGCCTAAGACACTGAAAATTCGGTCGATCGACGCGTTGTCAGGTAGCGTGCAATTGAATATACAAAATTGACGTTTGAGTCTTGAAGGAATGTCGTTCCTTCCACCGCCAGGCTGACACATGGCCGCTAGAAATGTTACGTCGACAATGGAAGTGAAGTCACCGGGTTTTTCCAGAGAATAAAATCCCTTCATGTCCATAGTTTGGCGAACAATTTCGTTGGTCACTTGATCGCCCCACTCATTGATCTGCGGCAGATTTACATCGTCGATAAAAATCAACATCTTTTTGCCGCCTGGCGGTCCAAATGTATTTCCCAGGCGCTTCTCCACGTAACTCTCGATGGTTTTCTGAAACTGATACGGACTGGTCGCTGAGCTGAAATTGAAGGAACGACTCAAAGTTGTGTCTGGATTCGCCTTTTTCATATACGACTTCATCATAACAGTTTTGGCGGATCCCTGCTCGCCTATGAGCAACACAGCTTTATCCTGACGACCAATCAAATCGATCAGATGTTGAATTCTCACGTTATCGGGTATAGGCACCAAAACATTGCTGTAATCGGGCGTCGAATATTCAGGGTAGACGTAATTGGTTACCATGCTTGTCCACGTGTCCCACTCGCCTTTGTCATTGACAAAAAAATCAAACACTGTAGCGTCTAAATATTTCTCGGAAGTCGGAAGGTCCAAGGTATCGAAGTTTTCTCGCAGATACTTGTCGTACTTTTGTCTGTCAGCTGTTTCCAGCAACGCTCCTATGCCCCACACTAACGCAAACACGTAAAGACGTTTCAAATATTCTGCCGTTAAGGGATGAGGTTTGTCGTTTTCTGCGTCTTCATCCGCGTTTTCTTCGGTTTCTTCCACTGATGTTTCGGCGGGTATCAGGCCTTCAAGCAGGCAAAGCATTTGTCTCACTATATTGCATTGCAAGACGTCGATAGCGAGCACTAATGTCTGGGTGCTCCATGAATAGATCTGAAATTTGTTTGGATTAATGTTTATAATTTATTAACAGAAAATAAATATTTACCTGTGCGAAAGAGTCTGCGAACATCTGTTCAAGCACTTCTTGTTCCAACGACGATCGCGATTTCAGCCAAGCGGTAACAACAGGATTCCAATCTAATCCTGAGGAACTCATGTACACCATGCCGTTTCGCGAAACAGTCGCGGGACTTGCATTATCAATATTGTGCGGTTCAAAAATAATTTTGCACGTAGGCGCCATTGACAATCTATCACCATTGGCTAAAGTCAACGTTTTATTATCATCCAGTACGGAATTCAAATTCTCTATCCAAATGCTATCAACGGGACCGTCGAGCACCAGCCACACGTGCTCGTTTTTCTTCAGTTTCAACGTTTTGCGCCACAAAGCTGAGAAAATTCCGTCCGTCCAATCGTTGGTAGCTACATCCAGACGACCGAACATCTGAGCGGCTGTTATACTTTTGGGATTCATTCTCATTTCCCTGCAAAACAGTTTTATGATTTTTCATGTAACGTGCAAACGTTCTATTTGTACGCTCGTTTGTACACAAATTGCTATACCTGTGAGAATTGCCACATTGCGTCAATGCTTTCATCAAGATGTGTATGCAAGTACTCTTGCCAGCACCGGTCGGACCCAATGTCATGATGCCGTGCCTTACCCGTTGCGTCTCGTAAAGCTGTATTAATTTCAGTACCCACGGCGCATGATAAACTAGTCCGGCTTGCTCGACCTGTTCGCTGATAGCCGTTTCCAATTCGGGATATGATGTCTTCTCCAGAGCCTGGTTGGGAAACAAATCAGCCACGAGAGATATGAAAAGTGGCTCGTCTTCGTCTGTGGAAAAATAAAACACATTTTAGTATATTTTAGATAATTAATATGCGTGTTTTATCTTTAAATTGAATTTTATTAAACCTATTAGTTTCGAAAGATTCATGTCGCGTAGAACACGCATGACGATTGTACTCTCTGAATCTTTAGAATTGACTCTCTTGGCTGCTCCCAGAGTTCTTAATACGGATAATATATTTCGCAAACCGAAATCGTAGTGCACCTAGAATCAAACAAAAATTGTTATAACACATTTTTCTTTTCTTAACGTTATTAACAATACCTGTTTGGTTAATTGTTCTTCGCATAATTTGTAGAGAGTATAAAATTTGCGAGCGAGAGTAATGTTCTCCAGAAATCCGCAACTAGCTAACTTTACACGTATGATGATCTGTCGATCAGGCACCATCATAGCCACCGTGCGAAACTGTATCTTCAAGTTCTCCGGCAGTTCTTTCCTTCCCGCATAACCAGGATTCTATAATTTATACAAATTAATTAGAATTCTGATGCAAAAAAATTTTTTTATTTTTTAGGTATTGTTAAAAAACAAAATTGTTATATTTCATTTATTTTTTTTTTTTTTAATTTTCTAATCTCCTGTAAAATTACCATAGTTATAAAAATTCCAAGCTCCGGACACATCTCGATTTGATCCCCGTCGGTGAAGACAAATTGTTTCTTTTTTTCTTTCTTCGCGGCGAGCACTACAGCAACTTGCTGAGCCGCAACAGACAGAACGGGCAGTTCGATTCTGTTGAATTCGTCGAAACAACCCCACGAACCACTTTGCGCCAATCCTTTGTAGATGCGACCCAATCCCCGATAATCCATTTGATCGGAGCAGTTGAACACTACAACATACTTTGCCAAAGTTTTTCCCATATCTTTTACGGTTTCAGTTTTTCCGGTTCCTGCGGGGCCGCAAGGAGATCCTCCCATTGACATTGACAGGGCTTGAGCTAAAGTGATGTAACATCTATAAAATTTCAAAATTAGTTTTCAAACATACATACAAATTAAAATAAAATTAAAAAATAACAATAAACATTTTTTCACAATTTACCTGTCGGTTAGTGGCGTAATAACCAGTCGCTCGGTACATCCCAAGTATTCATTTTGATAAGTAAACTGAACATCTGTGATTAATATGGACGTTTTGTCCAGATCTTCCTTGAAATAAAATCTGCATTGCTTCAACCATTCGAAGTCATTCACGGATCGCACATTTAGACGGCACTAAATAAAAAATAAACGTAAGTGCAACACAAGTTTAATTTGTAATCTGTCGGCAATTATATTTAAATCTTTTTATAAAAATTTAGTTGAGCACCCCGTACCAATATATCGAAGATGTCACGTTGATGCACATGTATGGTGATAAGCGTTTCGAACTTGATTCGTTCTATCTTAGTAAGATCTCTCGTAGTCTGATCGATCAAAGTGTTCAAAAGATCGAGAAACTTGTTGTTCGTTTCGATCATGATTTTTTTATCCGCGCGAGCTTGAGCCAAGGCCACCTCGCCATCTCGCGTCCAAATCATTTGTATGCCCAACAGTCCTATCTGAGCGGGCATCTTGTCGAGAAAGTTCAACAGATTGAAATTCGCGTCGTTAATGCTGCTGTAGCACTGACGAATGATGGAATGCAAAGAAAGCTGCGATGTTTGAAGCAATTGCATCAACCACGTTTCCACGGAACCCTCCGCTCTTACTGCTTTCTCAAGCTAAAGAAAACGTTTCGAAGTTTGTTCACAATATTATTATTATTTTTTTACTAGAATAAATAAAAAATAAAAAAAAAGCATATCGCTTAAATATTCATACTTGCCTGTATAGTCTCACCTTCTGACGAGACAATAGCCGTCATTTTATTATATTCGATATCGTGAAACTTTACGTAGCGTGTATTGTCGAAAATAGAAAGCAGATGATTTTGTATAGTGTGAGAATCGGATGCTTGGCCGAGTATCTCCAACAGCGCGGGATCGGAAACAAAGAAAAATCTTGGGAACATCATGCGCTTCTTTTCCAAATAGCTAAAACATTACAATCAGAAATTTTATGCGTAAAATTAGCAAAAAAAGTCTTTAAATTTCTCAATATCTATTATAATAAAATTTATTTTAATTTCAAATATAATACGTGTTTATTCTTTTATTAAACATATTTACCCGCTCAGAGACTTTTGACACAACTCCAGTTGCTCCTGCAAATGCGGCAGAAGCTGCTTCAGCAAGTCGTCTCCTACGCAGCAGGGCACAACTCCTGGCGTTTCGTGAGCACGTTGCATGATCTTCTGCCAGCTCTTGTCGATCTTGCTGAATCTCTTGGCCTCTTTCGGCAATTGTTTCGCGATATCGCCACCCACAAAAACCGCCTCGAGATAGACCCACATATTCTGCACGAGCAACCATCTCTCGAGAATCTCGTTCGTGTTGGACAGATCCGAAAGCCATTGTTGTATCTGCTTTCTGAAAGGAGCGTTATATCGATTCGACATTAGCGAGCCGAGAACCATCAGGCTGTCTTCCAGCTGACTGATAGTTTCCGCGGTCGTGTCTCCTCTCAACAACAATTCGCCCCTGTTGTTGAACGTCATGAAGGTGAGCTCGTGGGACGACCACTCGTTAACCACCGTTCTCAGTTTAGCCTCGATGTCCTTTTCCTTCATCGCCGATATACAGATATCCTCGATGTCTTCTTTGTTCTTCAGAAGCGGCGCTTCAAGTATGTTCTTCAAACAAAAACCTTCGCTCTCCAGATCAAAAGAGTATCCCGTGACTTCCACGATTCTCTGCCAATGACGCGGTTTCATAGCCTTGTTCGCCATCAGCTCGAGAAGAGGACACATGTCGTTGAAGTCGTCGATCGTCTTCTTCAGCGCGAAGAACGCCGGCCATTCCTTCAAACCCTTCGGCAACTTGCGACAACGGTTTTGAAATTCCATCAGTTCGTTGTTTATCTCTTCGATATTAACCTGAAATTTATAATCTTGCTCGCACGTTGCGCAAAACAAAAACTACTATTTTTATTCATACCTCGCCCCACGGAATATCATAATAGCTGCTGACTCTGTCAATGACATCGTTGTACAGTTTGTACAACTTTTGTAGTAAGTTCAGCTCCTTTCTGATCTGTGAAAGTTCCGGATAATCCGTGATGGGTAAACCGAAAAGTTCCTCACCGCTCTGATAGGTTTGCAGCTTTCGCCACATACCGTCGAATCTGTTTTGGAACAATATTTGTCTGTCCGAAGCTTCGCGCGGACTCAAACCAGGCTGCATAGGTCCGGACGACCTGTACTCTTCGCAGTACATCTCGTTGTCGATGCGGAATCTCTCGAGATTGTTTCTCAGATCGTTCTCGAACTGCGGTTGCAGATTCAACAACAACACGTGACTCTCTTGCGCTCGGGCCAGTAATTTCTGCCAGGTGTCTCTCAAGTTATCGACCTGTTCCAGACATTCCTGGTCCACGGGCACCTCGTATCTGGTAACTATGTTGAAAGCTTCCTCGATCGGATCTATCTTCAGCTCCATGTCGACTTCCTGCTCGCGGATCTTCTTCAGGGTGTCCATAATGAGACGTACGTCGTCCAGATCGCGAATCTGATGATCCAGCTTGCGGTCCATTTCGTTTATCAGCGCGTAAACGTATTCCATTTCGCGACGGTATTTTTTCTTCATTGCTTGGCCGATCTTGTGCGTGCAACCTGCAAATAAAATTTTTAAATATTTGTTATTAATATTTTTGAGAAATCGATAACTATCGTTAATCTTGTTACACTTTTACCTTTGATTTCCGTATAAAGACCATACTTCAATTTCTCTGTCGATACAGCAATTGACGTGCCAAATATAATCATGTCCGGTTCGATGGCCAATCGATCTTCGAGTTCGCTGTGTTTGCGGAGAGTGGATTCGAATTCCGACAGAGAGATCTGAAGCAACTCTCGCACATTGCGATCGTTTTTCCACAGAAATTTATACGGTTTCCAACGATCGAGAAATTCTGTCAAATCCTAATAAGTTCGACGTAGAAATCCAATATCTTGTTAATACATTTTTTATATTTTAGGTCTCATGACCTGATTTATCTTACCTGTCGTAATTCTAGTATGCAAGTGCTCAGCATGCCCAAAAGTTTAATAATTTCTTTGTTGTCCATAACCATGGCGTAGAAATTTTTTTCTTGAACCGGAAATACAGGTCTCTCCTCTGAGAGAATTTTGTAAAGCCTTCGTCTTCTTGTTTTCGAGTCTTCCGGTTCTTCCTGCTTCTGTTTCGTGACATTGGTGTGGGTTCGCAATACAACTTCCGCCAGATTTTGTTTCGACGAATAGGACAGACTTTTCCACATATTCTAATGAGAAAATCACATGTACATATTTGTTGTTAATATAACATTGACACGAAGTGTTATTTACCTTGTTGCTTCTTGAATTCCATTGTGCCACTCCCTTAGCAACGTCAGTAATAATTTTTCCAACTGACGTAAGTGCTTCCTGAACGTCGTCCAGGCTTGGCTTGACCGTTACCGCCGGAATCATGAGCGTTGCGTGTAATAAAAACACTGGGTTCGGAGTGGCCTCTAAAATTCATTTCGAAATTATAAAAATTTCATTATTTTTCAAAATCGAATTAAATTTAATTTCTAACAGCCGTGAGATCTCAAGTTTTTTTTCTCGAGATGTGCTTAAACGTTTTTACTCTTATGTCTGTTCATGGTAATATGTCGAGATTTATTTGCGATGTCTTTACCCGAATCAAGTTCTCGAATAAATCGTCTTCTGATTACATCCAGAGATACTCTAGTAACTTTTGTTAACACGTCCACGATCTTCCTGGAATAATATCTTCTCATCTCGGATACCGCGTTTCGAACCATTTCCTGCATGTCTTTGGGTAAAGTGCCGGGCGTCGTAAGTAATTGATGAGGGTCGTCGAAGTAATTCCACACCACGGACCAGTCTTGTTGAACAGTTTGCTCCGTCGTTTCCTCTCCTTCTGCTTCTTTATTTCCGAATGAGACAACAATTATTTTCGCATTTTTAACGATTTGAAAACTTGTTTTCTCACCAAAAAATTATAATTAAAATTTAAAGTAAAATTAAGTAATAAATCTCAATGATTGTGACGTTACTTTCACTGGCAAGAAAATCGAACTGGTGGGAGGCGGTGCTTTTGAAGCTATCAGTGGCCTTCCTAACGAGCTGCAATACTTCTTCCACCGCTTCCTCGACCATCGTGCTCTTACGATGCAGATCTATCGCTGCCGTTCTACATATTTCACCGTTTTTCTCCACGAATTCCTCTATCGTCCACGGCTGATCGGATTCGGGAAGAGCGTGTAAAGTTACTTTCTGCATACTCGCCAACACTTGCAATATTCTAGCGAGACAAATCACTTTATTGTTACTATATTTTGTAAACAAAATTTTACGTGCATAAATTTTGTACGTTTTGTTTTTTTTTTAACGTACCTGTTGTCGTACACATCGTGAACTCTCGTGATAAGTATGTCGAACGTTTTAATTTGTTCTTTTGTATTTTGACAAAACTCTTTCCAATTTGGTTTAGTCCACGTCAGTGTTGTCAAACCGGGTTCCAATAAACATGCGACACAAACCAGGTGTGGCAACAATAGCGGACGAACCTCCAGTTTCACGCGCTTGGCGGTAGAAACGAACTCTTCGATCATAAGTTGTAGAGAGTCTGTGATCAGCGTGAAATAATCTCTCTTCGCTAGTATTGTTAATGCAACGATTGGAATTTCCAAATTTATTTTTGCCAAACAATCGGCTTCACGAAACAAGAGAACAACTCGGTTTTCCAGGTTGACCTTAACTTTCGCGGTCTTTTCGTCAACTATCAGCAACGGTCTGTTATGTGTAAAGTCATGTTTTTAAACAAAATAAAAATAATTGTTTTTTGTCAAAAAAAAAAAAAAAACTGGAAAAAGTTTGAATAATTTTGTTATCTTGATATCTAACTGCTTCAAACAATCCTCGATGACCCATGAATTTTGATGCGTCCAGATCTCGGCAATGTCAGTTTGATACTGTTTCATAATAACGATGGCGTGATTGTATCTTTTAATTAAATCGGCAGTTAGTGGCAACGTCTTTAAAACAGGATGGTTCGATACAGACGCCGTCAATTCATCCAGATGTACTCTAGTGAAGGTTTCAAAGAATTCAGCATCTCTGCGAACTACAATTATTTGTACAAATAAAAATAAATAATTAAATTATTTTGCTTACTTCAACGAATTCGCCCAAGTCAATCGTCCAGCTATAGGTGGCATGTGTCTCGGCAATGGCGGATCGTCTCTTTGTCGTTTAAACAATTTTAGTATTCGATCTATTTCCCTATCGCAATATTTCACTACAATGTTGTATTTTTCTTCCAATTTTGTGAGCGGTATCTTTTCACTAACCTTATATACAAAAAATATAAAGTAAGTCTCACTAGGCATGGAGAAAAAAATAATTAAACGTTTGAAAAATATTTTGTATCAAATTTGGTAAAACTGACCTTCTCGAATCTTGTTAGAAACCGTATACCCTGTGGTGTTTCCCAAACATCAGCGTAATTCTTCTCAATGATCTCGCCAATATTCTCTTTCAATACATTTGTCTTTGTCATGAAGTCATCGTAGTCGGTATCAAAATCGGTATTTCTTGGATCCAAGTAATCATAAGATTTGCTGGTTGCAATCTTCTTGCTTTCTTCAAAAGTTTTTATAGCTTCGTCTAATGCTATAAAATTTAACACACGTTCAAGATGACGAAATAAAATTGAACAATTAAAGTAATTAAATAAAATTGGAAGAGAAAGTAAACTATAATGAATATTTTATACCTTCACCAAGAAGCAGTCCTTCCATTCGTCTTTCGAAGAGAGTTCGATAATCCTGTATAAGATCGAACATGGTGAGAATTTTGCGAATTCGAGCACAAAACGCGTCAAATCGACCGAACACGTGAGTTTCTGAGAAGGAGAATTCTTGTTCCGTAACTGCTGGCGAACACCGAACTAGTCTGTATGTTTCTCTGTAGGCTCTTGAATAAAAATTAAATTTAGAAATTATGTATTTTTATAAATTTTTAAATTAAGAAGTTTACTTGTTCAAACGTAGACAATGTTTCAATCTCGATCGAATGGCCACTCGATCTTGGCCCCAAATCGTTTCCCGGCCTCTTTTCGTGACGTAATCCCGACAGGCGACAATCATCTGATTTGTGATCTTAATCATTAACGAACTAGTTCTTTCCGAAGTGTTGTAATATTTCGAGACGCTGTATATCAATCGAACAGTTTGCAATAACGATACGAGAGAATCTCGCATTTTTACCTAAAACAATTGAAAGGTTTTAACTTAAAATTGTCTTAAATAGATCTGTTTGTTCAGTTTATTTTTTCTATTTGTTTTTGTTTGGAAAACAACTACTACGTAAAGATTTTGTAATTACGGGATCGTCAAGGTAAAGACAATGACAACATTTTTCTAGCGCTTGAATGAACTTTGCGTTATCTTTCGCTTCGTTGTAGCAGTAAGTCACTTCATCTTCTACGTCGACCCAGTCTTTGATCAACTTCGAACGTGCGACTTGCAGGCATAGAAGTGACATGGTGACTTCGTGATCCTACGGAATTAATCAGATTTATGTGAACAAATAAAAATAACTTTTTTGTACATTCTTTTTGCAATAAGAAATTTTTTCAAAACCTGCAAACGATTGACCAGTTGGCTAAATTGGGCGCCTCGCCGTTTCCAATATTCGAGTTCTTGCTGCGGTCCGGAAGTGTCGTTCTCTCTTTTAACTTGTTTGCTCTCCGCCATAAAATCTTTGAGTTTCTTTATCCAGTATCTCACTCTTTCCTCAACTTGTTCCACGGCGTTTTGCTTCGCCACAAAGGTTTTCGCCTCTTCGAAGTTGTGCACTTCCATCATCATCGGTTCGCCGTCGCTGAATATTGTTCCTTCGAGCGCCACCTTTTCGCAAACTTTATGAACATAAATTTCAATAAATATCAAAACATATGTACGAAGTTTTGCGTTCAATTACAGATACTTCTAACAGTTTCGTAATTTCAAGCACCTTTAAGAGCGCTGCAAAAGGACCTCAAACCCGGCAACAGAAGAGTTTTAATCATCGGGCAGTCCTCTTCACCTTCCGAGCCGGGATGTGCTAACGCATCCATAAATACTTGCTCCACTATTCGTTGAATGGAAGGTATTATACCTACCTTCATCGTATCTATCACACCTGTGTAAAGGTCTTTTTGGAATCCTTCCTCTGGCAATTGCTTAGAAACGCTGATTCTTCATAAAGTATTCAAAAGATTTATTGTAATATATTTAGCATTCAATATATTGTTTTGAAGTATATACCATGAGATATATGTTGAATAAAATGAAGAATAAACCAACATAGATTGGTTTAAAAGTGTAATTCCGAAACTTACCTGAACATGTAAATACAAATTCCTGTGCAAGGCACTTGCCAGCCATCAGTCAGAAACAACTTCTTTTTCGGCGGTTCTTTCGGTTCCTTTTGCTCCTTTACTTTCGACGCTGTTGCGTTCGGAACTGATCTGGACGGTACAGCTTTCGGCTGCACCTTTAGTAAAAAAAAAGTTGCGCTACTTCATATTTCCGCTTCTATTTATCAAATTTCGAATTTCACTTCCGTACCGTTTCAATCGGAAGTTCAGGCTCCTCGACTTCTTGATAATACCAGACAAGAGTTGACCTCATATGCGGCACGAACAGTTGATTAATCTCATCCAACATGTCACCCTCGAAAACGTGGTCCATGACTTCGTGACGTGACAGCTGCGTCGCATCCATCAAGAGCTGGAAGGCGAACTCCAACCGCGGGTCCATCTCTCCCCGCCTCGCTTTTCTCTCGCATTCTTCCCGCCGTTTCTATAAAAAAATATGTATATAATGTAATTATATTCGAATATTAAAAACAACACATAAATATGTAGAATTTATAAATTTATTTTTCTTCAAATATTCCGAATTTTTTGTACAAAACAGGCAGAGATATCGAGACAGTGTTTGTCTTCAAGAATAGACCTGAAGAACATCTTCAGGACCTTCCACATCGCTACCGCTCTCGGAGATGTCCGATTTCTGTTTGATGATCTGAGGTCCTTGTACAAACATGATGGGAATACAGACACGAAAAACGACACGTGGCTGAGTTGAAAGCTCACTGAGCAGAAGATTGCAAGTTGCAGTAGAAGCTACCCTCAAACTCGACGAATTTCCACGTACGAAGTGGTGTAAGGGGCTTACAGTGCCATGATTTCGTGTCTGGCACCGCCCTTCCACGCATCCTTCGTGTCGTGTAGGAATTTCCGCGCGATATTTTACTGCTGATAGTTCACCACTACTACGTCGCGAACGTTTGAGCTTCGGAAGCAGCGAAAACTTCCAGCAGTACTTCCAACACAAGCGAAGCGTTATTGTCTCGAAACCACAATGTGAACGTGAGTTGTATTACAATTAATGTTAAGTTTTCCAACAACTTTTTAAAATATCCTAAATATTTAAGATTAAAAAATATATATAGATAAGTACTAGATAATTTTTTAAGTTTTTTAACTTTGTCTAAAACATTTTATATTTTTAATAAAAATTTTTTGCTTTTTTTATATATTACATTTAATACATATATATATTTTGTTTTTGATTAAACAATTTTTTATTTATTAAATAACGTTAAAGGTATTGACTAAAATACATGATAGAATTAAGATAAAACGTGTAGATATATTCTCGGGAAACATTTCACAATTTAGCAATAACAAATGCGACACATATTAAGAGATTATCATCTCTGATAATCAAGTCGTGCGAGCACGCGACGTGCTGCAAACGTAAATCGTAAAATTCGAATACAACATTGCATTCGGATACAACACGTGACATCATAAAATAAGCAATATGTTTTGCTGTATATGTATATATATAACATCGCGATACGAACTAACACACGCAAGTGTTTTCCATGCATCCGCAGAGGGCAAAGTGTTGTTCGCGTGCGAACACGTTGCACTTTGTTAACCAGCTTCGCCACGTGCAAGGCGATCTAACAGATAAAGTTGCAAAATTAGAAATTCTTCCAAAGAAAGTTGGGACATAAATCTACTACTTTTTTTAAAATCTGACAGGTTCTTCCGCAAACTTGCGGAAGGGCGCGTGTTTCGTTCGGATTTCGCGATTTCAACAATTTCGAAAACGCGGAAACATATTGCGTGGCATTTCACGCTATGTATTCGTGATGCCAAATAATTGAGATGAATCGGTGGTTCTGGTACCAACGGGAACCAGGCATATTGTACAACATATCGGCCGAACAAATCGATAACACTTGTCGAAGGCATTCTCGTATGCAAATACGTATCTAAAGCTATTAGTAATAGATTCCGCTTACTCTGGCTTCCTCGTTGGTTTCCGTCATGCTGGTTTCCGAGATCTCCTTTAATGAGACACCGCGAAACGATCCACGTTCTTATGCAGTCCGTGGCGTAATGCGACATTAACTGCGTTATCCCGTCTCCCTAGCTGTTACTCATTCTCTTTCTTTCTATTCAACTGTTTCTCCTCTCTCTCTCTCACAGCGTTCGCTTGAAAAAAATTGCTAAAGTTAAATGAAATGTCTTTAAAAATAGAGTTTGAGACTCTGATGTTAACTATGCGATGATAGTTTTATATTACAAGTGAAAAAAAATATACAGGGTCGCAATAATACGTCACCTAGAAAAGATCCGATCTTACTCGATGATAAGACGCAACTGCGAAACAATGTGGTCAATTATTGATTAAACGATTGTGGATGTAATAGTCTGAAATGAATATAATAACTCTCCTTGCGCTTTGTTACAATCAGTCGCGTAAAAACAAACGTATACGCGAAAGTTAATATACATTAAATTAGAACAACAAAAGTTCCACCAAATTGGTGGAATTTTTTTTCCGTCCAACATGTCTCTGCTTACGTGCGAATTATCTCAGTTATTCTAAAAAACAGATGCATCATCAAGCTCTATATTGACTTAACACTTATATCTATTGACTGATGGCTCTGCCTCCCCTCTACAGGCTTAACGAGTAGTGCCAGTTCGTATCAGGTCGGACACACTCACAAGCGTGGTAAATGTGTATTTTATTTTACGCGCGTTCGTGTTGTCACACCACTTGCGCAGGTCACGTGGAAGTATGAATTGCTTTAGCGAATGATTTTTATGTTGTTCGAAAAAAAGTAAATAAAATGTTGAAAACTTTTCAAGTAAATAAATTGTTCAAATATACTTAACAAAAAAAATAAAAAAATCTTCCGACGTCTTATTACGTGGATAAAAAATAATTATCATTAGGAATGAAAAATAATTATTCTTACGAGGAGCTGGTTTCAAATGCTTTTAACATGAGATTGTGAGAAGGAAAGAGAAGGAATCTTACAAAAAAAAACCAAGATATTCTTGAATTTCATATCGAGTGAAATATGCGGCATCTACGCCCTCTCTGTTTATTATTGGAATATTTTTCACTAAACTAATTTCTAGGACAATAATTGTTAATATTGTACCATCAAAGTCGTATCACGTTATCGTCATGACTAGTACACTCATCGTTACACTTCGATCGGGATTGCTTTCACGGCGATTTGTATGCGCAATGAGATTATCTTTTTGTTTCTGTTACAAATAAATTATTTTTAAGATGGGTGCACGTTGCGTGTTATATCAGCGTATTGTCGTTCGCAAAATCTAATTTTGAGATACACATCAAGACAGCGTTTTGTTGAAATCGATTGAGAATTGCGCTAATTTCAATTTAAAAATGTGCATCCATCCTAAAAATGTCAGTTTAAATCTATTTTGATTGCCTACACGCGAGTTTACATTTTCTCGACCAAATACAATGATTCATACAATCGTATCAACGCGTATATAAACACTCCAATTTTCTCGGTATATAATGCAAAACATTTTGTCTTACATTGTGAGTTTAATCTATCCAAGTAAGTTGTTCGCAATCGATCGCAAAAATTGCTAAATGGTTAGATCATTATTTAAACGTAACTTTGTTAGATTGTCTCGCTTATACAGTTAGCGTTTGCGTCGTTTTATATAGCAATTTATTCGTTTCACACATATTCTGATGTTGTCTGTAAACCATTTTATACGGTCGGCAAAATTGCAACTTGCGTCACGTGTTGAATTTTACGCTGATCCAAACCATGAAGAGCACTCCTGATCTGTAATTTCTCAAAAGAGACACCGTTTTTCTATTTTGTATGCCAAATGTGGTAATATTTTAACCGCAGCTAATAAATGTTTAGCACAACCAAAACGTTGACATTCGCGGTCGATACAACAAATTCGTAGTGAAAGAAATTTATATACAGCCGTATAGTAGAAACATATTATAAATACTTGTTTAAAAAATCGCATAATGTTTTTTGTTAATTCTTTCATAAAGAAACTTGAACTGATCAACAAAGCCATAACAAAAATGTCTGAATAGCGCGGCTTACCACATCGAGCTTACAATTCGATTCCGCGCGAAAATAGTCGATTGGCGGTGCCAAGACGATCGCGAACGTATACATTGCAATCGTTCAGAACGCATTTGCGAACAATCAGTTAAAACATGTAATAACAGCACGCTCGTGGTGTGAGGTACGTTACAAAACTAGTACAAAACTAGCAGCTAGGTACAAAAATGTAATTAATCGTTAATAATGGAGGCCGCCCGGGAAACTGCCAGGGACCAGCTCTTGTTCGCTCCCGATCATCTTTCTTCTCTTCTCCTCGTCTGTAGTTTACTCAATTTTTTTTCTTTTGTCACTAATAAATTCATTTCTAACGACGTATACGCTGCAGCATAACTCAACTCCGTTTGAACAGAATCTCGATTCTTTCTTTCTTTCTTTGACTGTCAATCGTCACTTTATTCTTGAGCGACTTTCACATGTTTAGAATGTCGTAATTGCTGAGAAATTTAAATGTAATACTGCTCGATTTTGGCGATTTCGCGAGTGCGGAGTGGCGCGGGATTTGTTTCCTTAATCGCGCAATACATCTTAATGGTCAAACAAAAACAGTTTTGTATGCGACTGAGGTCCGATACCGTTGATTTTTCCAAGCTCTAGGTTTTTGGTTTTTTATTGCTGAATTTAAAAAAAAATATTCATAATACCTCAATAATGTAATATCTCTTTACTTTCTCACACAGGACTGAGCAACAATTAAATTCGTATCCGATTGAAACATTTGATCGAAAAATTGCTAAAATCTATTGGTCACGGAAGAGTTTGTCACAAATTTAGACGTTAATTATTGCACATTAAACGGGAGCCAAATATGTATTTTTTATTTATTGCAAAAAGTATGTGTGCAAATATATCGTAAACTTCTTTCTCGAACCACTGCGCACCGGCGACGATAAAAGTACAGAAGTAAAAGCTTACGATATAAGGATCTGGACGAAAGGACCGGATCACAAGCGAGTCTATACGTATAAAGAGAAGATATTCACAAGAAATTGCTGTTAACGCGTCGTGTAGCCGAGCCCGGCTAAAAAATTCGTCGCAGTTCGAGATAACGGAAATCTTATATAATTCGTAGGAGATGTTTTTTTTTGTGGGACCGGAAGCATGCGCGTCAACAAGACAAATTATAATACTTTTGCTCAATGGTTTTATTTACATTATCCTCAGCGCAATAAGTAAGTAATGCCGTTGTGTGATAATTGTGTGTCTTCATCACAGTCGAGCTGAAGCGCGATCATACACATCATCTCGTTACTCATTGTACTGGCAAACAACTTGTGTAACAATTTTCCATTAAATATACGAAAAAACATATACAACAGTATATTACACTCTCTCTTACGAGATCTCTTTCGAAATTTATCTTAAATCGAATCTGCATTACTTCTTTTAGCCGGGCACATTTTTAGTCGATTTAAATATATAGTTTACGCTCGAACTCTAGAAGATAGTCGATAGTTGTCTTTGATTGCGTTGTGCAGTTAAGACGTAATATCATTTTTTTTTTATTTCATGCGTTTTCTCGTTACGTTAGTAGGTATAAATTATCTTGCCGTCAAGAAAAAATCTACAAAATCTGCGCCTATACGTTAATTATCATCAGACGTTACATTGTAATTTCGAAAATCAAAATATCAGAAAAATACTAATATTACACAATATTTTCGATTTGTAGTTTCTTAGTTTTATATTCACGACATTTTAGCTGTCTTTTTTTTTTAATTTATTTAAAATTGCACAAGTCACGTATTTATGTCTTTTGATTTGACGTTTCCGTGAAATATTAAATTTAAAATAAACGAGAGCATATTATACTTTTCAGATTATACTTTTTTTTCTTGTGTTAATTACTTTTTTTCAATTCTGTATAATAGCACGAATTAAACGGCTTTATTGAAACCGCTTCTATCAGATCAGTTTATTAGAGAAAAGTGTTATATTTGAATTAGAGACATGTTTAGACACTAGAGTAAAAAATAGAAGCAGAGATTTTCTAGACACCGATTTGCATATTGATTCACGCTTACAGAATGTAAATGTCCGTCGCAAAAACATTAGGACGTGCTCACACATCCACGCGAGCATTACTCAGGAGCGTAGCGAAGAAACATTGGCGAAATTGCATTGTCCTCGTCTCCAGCTTAGCGAACATTACGTGGCAGTTCAGCTACGCCTAATTTCTAGCACAGTCTAATGCATAATAGGCGCCACAAATATACGATCGCGTCCACATGTCTTTCTTTGTGTTATTTTCTCGCAAAAAAAAGACACAGACAGAATCTTTTTAACTTGGATAAAAAATACACTAGAGATCCGCGTTTTCTGATTTGTTGTAGCGATCAAATTCTAAATATTATTGTTTACAAACATATAAAACGGTTTTTACAAATTCTTGCCGTGTTATTCTTTTTTAAATAAAAATATCTTCTTTTGTTTTAAATAAATGCACAGGGATTTGGAATTGTTCTTAAATTTCTCTCAATTTTGTGTGAACTGCAACAATAAAAACATTCAAACTCTACGGGACAAATTAGAGAGCGTTACTCTTTATGTGCTTGCACATGCTTTGCTGATCACGCAATTACGTCTACGCGTATAAACTTAAATAGTTAAAAAAAAAATTTTGTTCTTCTGCACACGTAAATTAGTCTGCGAAATCGCATTTTTTTTTTCCCCACATCTCCAACGTTCTCCTCCTCGTTTGCTTTCTTCCAGAATGTTCGGTTCTAGTTCCAGCTTCAGTTGGATAGTTAAGTAGGTTGTCCAAACATCGTGCTCGAAAGTTGCGCCTCGAGTTGTCATGGTTCACGTAGACGTGCGAAAATTGGACGCAATGGTTTACGCTCTCATGCAAAAAGTGTTGCCACTAGCCGATCTCTCGTATAATGTAACCTTTTTTTTTTTTGTACAAGATTAGAATAAGAAAAGCTTACCGCGGGCTTGTTACTCCGCGACAGGATGCCCGTAAAACTCGCGTAATCTGAATGAAGAATTAGATTAAACAACAATATTTTGATTTTCCACGAAGAGAGAGCAACTCTGCTAAACCCAGTAAGTGAAGAAAAGCCAACGAGATCTCAGCGAGAGCCCAGCTAGATCCCGAAGAGAAGCGCTTTTTCTCTCTTTCTCTCTCTTTCTCTCATTTTCTCTCGCTCATTCTTTTGTCCGCGGCGTCTTGACGAGAAAGAGGAAAAGCTTGAAAGCCGGCGGCTAGGAAGCGCGTTTAAAAAAGCATTAAAAGTTCGCACGCTCGGCACTCGATTATCTTCCATCGAGAGTGTTCTACGGGCACGACGACGCTTCCACTTCTCTGATATAATTGACTGAATTTCTCTTTCTCTATGTATGTGTGTGTGTGTGTGTATATATATATGTAATATATATCTCGATCATCATATTAATAGATTAAATGCGGAAATGGATCTTTCGCGGGTGGATCTGCGGTCTGCTTGCACACGACGAACAGTGGAAATTCTTCGCAAAATACGCTACGACATTTATTTTGAGCGTTGTCTTACGACGTAAACTAGGTAGGCGACGATTTCAAATACCGTAAAAGCAACAAGTCGTTTCTCCGTTGTGTTCGCGCGTACGACACAAAAAGACACCCCGATTAACGGGGACTGTAATTAACGGATTCTAGCGTGATTGAGCGAAGCGAGATTATGTCGTTTTTTTTCTTTTTGTTTTTAGAGAGAAATGGACGCGCGTCGACGGAGGTGCCGATTTTCCGCCGGCAATGTAATTATTCGCAAACTCGAAGCACCACTCGCAATTTTTTCGCCGCGATACTTCGCGTGTTTTTTTTTTTTTTGTTTTTTTTTGTTTTTTGTTTCGTGCTGCCATTACGACACTAAAAATTTGCGTTTGATATAAAAAATTGAATAAAGTTGAACGTTGATTGTAATTTTGATTATTTTTACGATTCAATTTAAGTGATACTTGAGCTAGCTTATATTATCAGACACATGCTTACGATGTATAATATAGATCTCATTTTTTAATATACAGTATTTCTATCTCTTTGTTAAACTATTATTTTTTATAGCACAATATACATATTTATATAATATTGCAATGAGCAAAAGAGAAATAGTGCAAGTTATTTACTTCTGAATTACAAAATGTCTTCTGTGTCACAAGTTTCTTTGCGTTTTTAATCTTTCTTTAAAGGTTTTTTTTTGCCTTTGTACCTTCGAGTTTTGACATTATTCAAGATCTCTTCTTCGTCTTCATCTCCGCGCGCACAGTCATCTTAATTTATCGTGTCTTTTGTTTTCTAATTAAATCTTTTTTTTTTTTTATTTTCTTCTAATTACATTGCTTAAGAGAGCTGCAAGATTTAATTATTTATATGTTGCTGGAGCGCGAAGTTTGAGGGAAACGTCTTTCGAGTGGTGCCGAAGATGCGAAGGTAATACTTGAATAGAGACGAAATAAGCGACGTTTCTAGAAAACGCGTCGTGGTTGTAGTGGAACAAAACGCAACAGAAGCGCTGCCGCTTGTTAGACGTTGTGTCGATGTGGCCATTAGTCGTCGTCGTCGAGGCCGAGAAGCTCCGGCGGAAGTCGCATGTGCCGGCAGAGTAAGGTGAGACAGACCACTCGTAAAGCCAATCGAAATTGGGGACTCATGGTGCTGAGAACGATTGCCTTCCAAAAGCCGTTCGTTACCCCCAGCCACACCACAGCGAAGTTTAGAAACGGCACCTAAAACAACATGTGAGTAATACAAAAAACTTAACAATTATATTAGAAATACATTTTCAAAAACGAACAAACTTTCCTGGAATAGGAAACTATCTCGATATAAGTTTCGAACAAGACGTCTCAAGTTCTTACCGAATTCAAGCAAAAAACATACACGGTAATAAAACTTATTTTAAATAACAAATAAATGACACGAAGATAAATATCAGCGTAAAAAAATATCCTTTTATTTTTTTTTTATTTTTGTCACGCAAAATGTCACACGAAATATATTCTTACACTTGAAGTTTTTCCGCTTATGTACCAGCGTGCGCGTAAGCTATGTGTGTGTGTGCGTGTTGGCTTACTCTTCTTTACATACAAACGTCGCGACCTACATTTTTAATCGTTCCGTTTTCAATACTTCTTTTTCACGAAGTTTTTGAATCGCGTCAAGCGATCGTGTACAATCTTACTGTATACGCGAACATTTTCAGAGATATGTACTCGATTTTATAATAGTCATCGCAAGCGAGGAACGCCTCGAGCGAGGATTCTTTGTTTGGGAGATCAAATCTGACAGAAGTGCTATTATTACCTGCGGGGGTCCGTTAACAACCGCGTATATCCTCAAACCGGCGTATGGCGCCCATGACAGGCAAAATGCCATCACTAAGATGAAGGATATGATGTGACTCGGGTTGCTCAAATTTTCCGATAGTGCGGTAGCGTATTCCTTGTCGTGACTCAGCACGCCGGACTTTACCCGCCTCATCGTAGTGAAGATGTAGGCGTATGTGTAGATGATGGTGATGACCGACGGTCCCAGCACGAGGATGGACAGCGTGATGGTGTACGCGGCCATGTTGCCCCAATCGAGCATGCAGATGAAGGCCTCGCGATCGAATATCGGCTTGTTGAAGCCGAGCAACGGTGGGCAGCACATCATCGCCACGCTGATCCACGTGAAGACCATCCAACATTGACATCGGGTTTTCGTCTGTACGGTCTCGTATCTCAACGGTTTCCTATGACGCGATCATGTTAATTAAATCGAGATGTTCGCAAACAAATTATTCGAATGCCGACAACAAACATTTTACACTGCTTTAACATTGTTGATATTGTAATTTTGAGAAGTACATTGATTTATAGCAAAAGCAAACACATTTCGTCGTTTAACGATTTATACCTGATAGCTAGATAACGATCCACGGAGATCCACATGAAGGTGTACACTGATATCGCCCATAGTGTAACTTCCAAGTAACCAACGAGTCGACACACGATATCTCCGTAGACCCATCTTCGCATCAGCGCCGGATAGACCGAGAGCGGAACCACCAACAGACCACAAAGAAGATCTGCTGAGGCGAGTGATAGCAAGTAGTAGTTTATCACCTCGGAGGGGCCTGCGAACGAAACGTTTCTTAGACATTATGCATTTGCTAATACAAAGTTTGAAAACAGTTTGACGTGTATACTTCTACAATAAAAAAAAAAGTTTCAAACGTAAAGTTGATACATCAAAAGTGTAATACCACTTCGAGTAATGTCACGTTGATTTAACAAAACATCAAACACCGAATCGCGTTGAACCTTACCGCGGAAGTTGAGGTAGGTGATGATGATGAGAAAATTCGAGATGATGATGGCGATGGCGACCACGAGGATAAGGCTCGCCTGCACAAGAGCCTCCACCGAGGGCTCCTCCATGTCGCCACTCTTTCGAGCTGCATCCTCCATGCCGCCACCCTTTCGAGCTGCATCCCCCCACCTGCCCTTAGAAGCTTTTACCCTTCACCCTTTTCGCGATCTTCCCGCTGCCGGGTACCGGGCCCTCCACAAAGCTCGCCTTCACGTCTGCCTTCTTCGTTACGCGTTCGTTTCTAGGACTTCCGCGCACCCTCGAAAAGGAATATTCGTAGTCCTTTAGACAAATGAGTCCTCGATTCTAAGATCGCGTCTTCGAGGATCTCGATAAACGGTCGACGTAACTGTGTTACTGGAAATTTAAGAAAATAATTCATGTTTATTTTATTATTTCATTCGAATTTATGTTGTCGGAGGATAATTTTGGAACGGAGGAAAATTATAACGTCGTTCCTAAAGCAGGGACGTCGCACGCGTCTTCAAGTTTGGGGTTAGTGTGTCAGCTTGTCTACTGAATAGAAGTGACGTGGGAAAACCGTGTTCCGAAGGGTAAGATTGGGTCCGATAACGCGCAACGTGGAACGGGCGTATTGGTGGTATAAGTTTCCTGAATCTCTCTCGTGACGATAGTTACACGTCACTGTCACGTGCTCTTTCTCCTTTTTATTTTCCCGCAAAAGCCACGTAACTCTTCCCTTGCGGAAAGTGCTCCGCGAACGACCTGCACGACGCTATCCCTCCTTTTAGTATCGACCGCCATTCATAATTTAGCTGAGTCGATCTTGAATGGAGGGGCGAACCGTACAAGTCGTCGTGTCGACTGACGTGTTTTCGGAATTAAAGTGTGTGCGCGGTTAAAGCGCCCGCATTTTACGCGCGTGGTTGACACGTTGACGCGTGACACCATCGACAACACAAACCGGAAGCGGCGCACAATGAATACCGCCGATCCTTGGCATTGCATTCTCGAGAAGAGTGCATCGCACTCTTTTTTGCACGCTATTATTTACTTTGAAAACCATATCACTCTTTCGGTAGTAAACCATCTCTCTTTAAATTTGGATGTTTTAATTTCGAAGATAGAGTTTGCGCTTGTGTGTATTTTGAGAACGAGCGCGTCTATCGTATAATTAACAGTATATTATTCATATAGAACTTGCTGAACTCAGAGTTATGTACATAACTCGACGTTCAAATTTTGACCGGACGTTTACTCGAGCGTGTTATATCGGATTTTCGATCCAAACCGCCCTTTCGTCATGTACTACTAGCAATAATTCAAAACCAACTGCGACCGATGTGTAGGCGGTTTGTCCACATGAAAGCGACATAATCAACCCGATGATCGATACGTGTCGCAATTATCGTCTATAATGCCTGCTTAATTATAAGCAAAGCGCGTCGTAAGCACCTCGACACGCGAGGCTCGAGACTTTGTTACATAAAAAGCAGCTTAATGAAGCCCCAAGCGTATTATGACTTAAGCAATTACATCGCTACGCTCGCTGGTCTCTTTCTGTTTCTCTCTCTCTCTCTCTTTTCCTCTCGCCTTGTCGCGAGTCGGTCTTCGACTGCGCGTGACTTTGCTACCGATTTTTCCATTCTGTTTCTTTTTTTAGAGGACATAAAAATTCAGCCGATCTGTGAGATTACCAGAACAAAAAATAATCGCCAATTGTTTTCGTCCTGCCGGCGTGGTAACATTGATCGAACGAAAATACGTCGGTCGTTACGAGAGGTAACGCTACTTGTGCGCTGGTTTCAATCTAGCGAATAGTTTATGTAACATATATGTGTATCAACATTACACACAGACGTCAATATCTATTTCATAAAACTGTGAACAAACACACACAAACGTACGTTCTTTCATTTTGCAAAAAAATTATTATCAAACACAAATTATTATTTATTTTTGCTCGAAACTTTTATCGTAATATTTACAGAATTCTACAATAACATTGTGTCGAAGAGAAACTTGTGTAAAATGAGACACAATATTTCTAGCAGTGGTGTACATTATTACGAGGCGAAGATAAGCATCGCGAAATTTATGCTTATTACAGCACTTGTGTAAGATATCGAAGAAAAAAATAGAGCTGAAAGTGGAGCAATTTACATTAATTTATTTTGACACGGAGAAAAAGGAGTAAGAGAGCGGTTTAAAACGCGTTGTTCTTGTTTTCCAGCGTGCAGCAAAAAGCCGCGTGTGCTATAATAAATTTATCTGCATTACTCTTGCATGACTGAAGACAAGCTTATATAAGATTTGCCCATTTAGAGCAGGAAATTGTAATAGAAATGTCAAACGATCATTGGGACCATTTCGGCACAGTCATTTATTTCCGCGGGGAAGAGAACAACATCGCGTATTAATATCTGCGACTCTTGTAAAATGAAAATCAACAAAAAAACCATATAATATGTTGCAGAATGCAGATTAACAAGTACGTATGTTTATTCTCTTTTGTTTGTCACTTTATTCGTGACCAAATTGTTTGTAGACATTTGTTTATTAACAATACGAGATCTTCTCTAGATAAACAAAGAGAAAAAGAGACTGAAATATATAAGACACTCATAACTCAAACCTCTAATTTACTCTTTTGTGTAATTCTCTGGTCTAATTAACCGCAATATGTGTATAGCTTATACGTATGACTACGCGAAGAATGAGAGAGTTTTATCTAAATGCTACCTCGCAGGTTCGAGGCTCTGCTATTTTTATCTACTCTCGTGTCCGACGGGCAATCAACGGCGCGGTCTCATTGCGACTGACAAAAAAGAAAAAAAGCACGAAGGGACGCTTTTTCCGGAGGGGCTCTTCAATTACCGTCGGAGCGAGTGCGCATCCCGATGCGGGATGCAGGATGATGAGCAACTGAAGCCGTGCCGGACACAGCAGCGGTTACTCTCTTTTGTTTAGTTAACCGAATATTTGCCCAGTCATGCGCATGTGTCGCGACAAGGGGTGATCCACGAGCAGCGGACGCGCGCGACTCGATGCACATCGCAGATTTTCAGAACGATATAGCCGCGTGCTTGGCTTGCAGCATGAAATTTCAGCAGCCCTTGTGTGCGCACTTTGTTGCAATTTTGCGGCAAGTCAAAAATAAAAAATAAAAAAAACAAAAAAGCGGATTTATTTTTTAGTAGGAAAATAATCCAACGGTGTTGGAGAAACAATATTTTTTAAACTAAATTTAGCGTAACAATATTAAAAAAAATAAAGTATATTATTATATATTTATTATTAAAAAAAATAAAAGAGAGATTGTTATTTATTATTTTGATTACATTTTAATTATGATGTTTTTTAAATTATATTGCACTTGAATTAATGAACACAGCTTAATTGAAATTACTATGCGCAAACATATGAATTACTTTAAAAATATTGCAACACGCTGAATTCGAGTAAATAATTAACCAAAGAGTACTGCTGTAGCGTATAAATATCAGATCTTGACATTTAGAAGACCGACTTGGAAGTTTTGCTGGATATAAGACAATGGCTTGTGTGACAGTCAGAGCGTGACTGACTGAAAAAATAAAATCACGAGCTTTCGGTGTATTCGATTAGACATACAGAAAACATGTGTGTGCTACGTTTATGTGACTGTGCAATCCGAACGAGTCGCGCACATGATTGCGTAAGTTTCCCCTTCGTAGTTGCGTCACGAGAAGAACTCGGTTGCAAAAGAAATCCGACACGGAAATCAGATCTTATTGCTTCTCGCCTTTCTGATTCTGTGTGTGGACTATCATTTTGAAATCGGTACTTAGCAATCTGACAAACGACACAAGAAAGCGACACGACGACTAATAAATCAGGAGGGAGAAAGTCACCCTGCAACTTAACACGGAACAGTGATGACAACCGCGGTCCATGCAGCATCCCGTCGCTCACTGCCATCTTTGGCCACATCCGGTGACCGACGGCACGTACCTCCTCAATCGCATCCTGATCGCGTGCACCAGCAGCAGCTCCGCCGGTGCCTGTCGCAGCCTCCTACACGCTAACGTGCACCCTTTGTCGCGCCGCTTTTCTCCGCGAACCCGGTCGAGTCGGCGGCGACAACCGAGACGCCGATAGCGCGTCTTCTTTCTCTTCGTTCGGATCGTTTGGTCGTCGTCGTTGTTCTTCGCGATTCAAGTTTCCCCCGTTTATCTTGCTCGCTGCGTCGCAACAAAACGCGTTCTTTAATATATTCTCCCTCCGTGAGATGCACACGAGATGCACTTGCGAGAGAAAACACACCGCTATGCACACGCGCACGTAATCGTACTCTCGCGCGACCCCGACCGGGATTTCTACCACTACTGGCGGTTCGAGTTCGCTTTTCTCCATCGGCCCGGGAGCCGAGGCGTCGATACGACGCCAACGACGCTTGCGCGCCGCCCCCGTTCCACCCTTTCCTACCAGGGCATTTTCGCGGCGCATTCGAGGCTGCGACCCTGCCGTCGCGACGCCGTGCATCCCGCAGCAAATCCGTTCTCTCTCGTTTTGATACTAAACGATCTCGAGAGTTTCAATTAATAACTCAATTACAGTAAAACATATGATAGCAAATATACTTTTCGGTATTTTAAAATTTTACTAAATTTTGTGAAAATGTTTTCTTCACAAAAAATTCCGCCTACGAAACTGTAATTGAAAACCGACAATCAAGTCACACAGATTCAAGTTGATGTTTATAATGAAAAGACCTCTCGGTAGTTTTGCGACAACACTTTGTATTTAAATCAGTCAGTTTCGCCCCTTTATTGACCGTCTTTAAACTTGCTGATGAAATCGTTTCCGTGTAATTTATACGACCCCTCTTGATTAAAGGTAAAAAAAAACTCCACGTCCGTTCCCGCGAGACCCCACGCTACGCGCGTGTTGTTAATTAACAGCAGACAGATATTTAAATTAGGTCTTTAGACAGTTCATCAGAATTTTATATGATGTCACGTAGCAGTTATTTAAAGCGTTCAAGACGAGAAGCTGAAACTTCGCATATTAATGCGACCGTCTTCGCGATAATTTCAGCTTATTCATTTCTTTTTGCCCCGCGGTGCGCTTCGATTTGAATTGTTAATTCGCTCAAGCGTGAATTATTATTATTATTTTTTCTTTTACATTTTGCTATTCGTTCAAGTTCTTAATTGAACTCGAATGTATAACGAAGAAGTTTCTTTTGCAAGTACGAAAGCTGGGTTTGTGAATTTAATCTTGTCTCCATGTAAATTGCACGCGCCTGTGTACAATGTGCGCAACTACGTTTACGCCACAATGTACGAAGCAAATAATGCATAAAAAAAAGATATCGCAATAAACTAATAAAGAATCTCTCCGGGTCACAGTGTAAACATTTTGTTTTTAAACAATTTCTTATGTTTAAAAAATATGTTTTTATTTGCTTTGGTTTAAAAAAAAAAATATTTTTATTGGAAATACAATTGAAAACCGTCTCACGTACATAAAGAGATGTATAAAATATACATTACAAAATTTAAAGCAATTAGATACAATCATATCTTTCGCACATTCTTCTGAATCCATAGATTATCAAGCGCGCAACGAGCGCAGCTATGATGTCAGTGACGTAGCCGGCTACTGAATGATTAAATTTGGCACAGTTACCTACCATTCTACTCGACGACGCACGTGTTCCGTGCGTTCGCTCATTCTGAAACCGCGGGCATTGTGCCGCTCAAATTGGCACATCTCTGATACGAAAGTTCTGCAGCATTTCATTGTTGCTTGGGTTGTGCCAACGAGCGCTTTTCCGCGATACACCGCTCGCGCGACAGCTTAAGGGTGGAAGGGTGGAAAAGACGTTTTTAGACGTTCCATCATTTCAAATCGGACGAAAGCGTTTACCTCTCGTTAAAAAAGAATTTGAGTTACACTTAGGTGTAGACTTTCAAAACATATATGTAACTTCGTTCAAAAATTCACGGACTTGCACGATCGTTAGAGAAATTTGTTGACATCCAGAGATTTTTTTGTTTTGTTTTGTTGAGGAGAAACAATTAGTCTCAAATTAGTACGCGGTTAAAGTGAGAGAGAAAGTAAGCGTGTTTGTGCAAAGAACTTGAAACATTCTGTACAAGCATCCTGAAAGTTCCAAACGCAGCCGACTCTTATTGATTTGCGGTTAGTCGACGGAAAGATGAACGCAGCCGGAATTCCAAAACTGCTGAGTGTCATGGTGACCTCTTTGGAAGATCTTCACCAAACGATCTTGCACTTGAAAGTGTGCCGAGGACAGCAAAACCGAACCCGTGTAAGTTATTGGATTTTCTCGCGAAGATATTGAAACTTTCAAAAATCTTGGAAAAAAAAATCTGTTTCTCAATTCTTTTCTCCGCCGAGAGTGTGTGGACGGAGATTGTACTGATTAGCAGAAAATATTGTTTTTTCGAGATGACATTATCGATCGCATTCGAGGTTTGTTATAATTTTTAGCACGAGCGCGTTGTGTCAGCGGGTTGTAATGCAACCCGCGATATAATTGACCTACAATACAAATATTCTATTTATACGTATATTTACAATTTTTCGTGTAAAAATTTCCGACAACTCGTAATCGTTTATAAACATGTCTCTTAAAAAATCTTTTCCTAAAAAATTAAAGTAAATTATATTATAAAAATGTGTGTAAATACAAACTTTATAAAAAAAATAATGTCTCTTTCTCTCTTAAAAAAAAAAAATAATTTTTTCATTTTCAAGGAATAAGTTCAAGGAGTCGAATGTAAAAGTACTTGACACGTTTGCGCGATTACCGAAGTTACGTCGTCATCGACATGACGACGATTTGCACAAGGACTTGGCAATTGACAGCTCGTTAATTCTAAACGCGGCGTCAGTACGGCTTTCTTAAATACCGCCGTTCGGAACGGCGGCTTTGTTCGTGTATTTCCCGTAGATCCTGCCGCTCCTGGTGACCCTGTAGAACCCGGTGATCTGCGGTCCGGCTTCGATCAAGGATACGGAACTGCACACATGCGGACCGTCCCCGGTGCACAGTCGCTTCGCCCGTCGTATGCCAACAGACTTGTGCTTGTGCAGCTGCGCCAAATTGAGTCGCTTCTGTTGGATCATCGCGGACGATATCTTCTGATTGATCGTTATTCCACGTCTTTTCAGCAATTTGAGCGGCGAGGCCGCCTGAATTGCTCTGCTGATACGATATCGGCAACGCCACAGAAGAATAGCCGCCGCGAACCAGATGAACCATCGATTCGATGATGATGCAGTTTCCGTTGGAGGAGTTGACGGTTCCTTGGACCATAGAAATAACATCTGAAAAACAAATATTTGTGCGCGAATAATGGGATATTGAAGCGTATAGAGAAAAAGTAACAATATACGTTTTACGGGTCACAGGAAAGCTTCTAGAAATTATTGATAAATTACGGGTTTGTCGCGATGAGGAAAACAAACAAGAAAAATATTGTTATAGTTGAGTTTTATTATTACTCGCGATGTGACATTTTGCAACTACGCTCTAGCGTACGTAGCAAACACTCGCTACGTACTTACTCGTACAAGAAAACCGATTTCGCAAATGCTTCAAAGTAGCCTTTTCATAGAAAAGCGCTCGAGTTGAACTTCGATAAAATGATAATCTCTCATTGAGTGGTTGCAATCAAACTATAAATCTGGAGCGGAAGTCACGGTGACGAGCGACATGCAATGTCGCGCAGCCCGTTAATTGTAGTCAAAAGTTATTTTAAACGATAACAAAGAGCTCGCGAGCTCAAAAGATGTATTGAACGATAACAAAATCGTATCGTATGTATTTTTGTGCAAATGCACTTCAAACTGCACTTTAGAATAATAAGAAATACATAGAATATATTAATACGCACTGTATCTTGATACTACGTGTTTTCAAATAATTTTGTTAAAAACTGGATAATAAAAAAAAACTAATTAAAGAAATATGTTACTATAATCAATATAATTAATCTGAATGCGTTCGAATTAGCTTATTGGCTCGATTGTGTCAAAAAAACTGAGTGTCATTGTGTAACATTATGCAATGCGAAAAGCTCGTGGGGGAGGAGGAGGTAACAAAGCGTTGATAAAATAACGCAGCGACGTTCTCGAAGCCGACGGGTGATTTGTTTGACTTCTTACTGGCACTGGTTTCAAGATCGCGCGCGAAACCATCGCGCACACGAACGATCGATTTCACGGTCGTCGTAGCTTTTCAAGGCTGCGCACCTTGAGATCCACGTGTGGATCCCAGGTAATTCGCTTAGAGCCCCCTACGTCTCTGACACGTTTCCTGCCTCGTGTTGGGCAGCGCGCGTTACGACTTTTATGGCTCCGCGACATCTCCGTTTTCGTAACCTTTGCTCTCTCTCTCTCTCTCTCTTTCTCTTTCTTTTTCTCTCTCTTCTTTCCCCGTCGGAGTAACCCATTTGGCAAAGACCTCCGGGGTGAATTTCACATTGGCCGCACGTTTTTACTGTCACAAACTGACTGACCTTATAGATCCACTCGCTGGCGCTCTGCTTGGTGGAATTGAGAGGTGGCGGTGGCGGTGGATCGACTATCCGAAACATAGAATGGCCGTGAACGTTGACTGATGGAAGACACCGGTGGGACCCGAAGCTGCAAGAGAGAACGATTTTCCAAGTTAAACTTAAATTTATTATTTTTAAGTTATCAAATCTACTACGCTCTTCAGTTATTTATTCAACTTATTTATTCAACGCAATTCAACTTCGATTCTTTGCGAACCAACTCGAGGAGAGAAACAAATTGGCAAAATAGGATTAATATGCTGTCGACGTACAGAAAGCGTATTTAAGGTATCGACAACCACATCTGCGACAAGTACATCTACAGACCAGAAAAAGAGAAACATTAAGCTGGTAATACGTAAATCGATGTAAATCAATAATTCAACGTATATACAGAGTTACGTTATCGACTGTAGCACGGCTAAGTAGATAGAAAAGTAAAGGATTCAGTTATTATCGACAAAAATATAAAATACGACCCTGACACGAGCAAGATTGAATGAACAATTTCTCGACAACAGGGAACGGACGAATGTGTGCGCTAAAGTGTGTTCCATATTTCATCTTTGAAGTGAAACAGAAGGGCGGAAAAGTGTCGTAAGAGATGACTAATGTGTTCGTTCACGTGGGAGAAAAAAAACGTGTACATGTTGTATGTTTCACATGCAAAAAATGCGGGAACAAAAATCTACGATGTTTATCGCGAGCATTTGGTGTCTCAGCGAAATCGGTCGACAAGTGCGAGGAAAGTCAAGTGACGCCGCGAAGAAATATATTTTAGATATTCCTCTTCCTTCCTTTCTTTTTCTCTCTCTCTCTCTCTCATCGTTTGCCAAGATGTCAAGGCGAACGACGATGTAAGTGCGTTTCCGGGAGAGATAGACGGGAAATGCGGTATTCCGGGTACGAATGCATAACGACGTTTCACGAATCGTTCGTTAAAATATGCGGAGGTGGTTTATATGGCGGCACGTTTCGAGGAAACGTTTACTGAACCGGAAGGACACGACAATCCGCGTTTATGTCGCGCGCGGGCGACAGTAACTGCCCACTCTTCTAAATAGTTACAGGTGTAACGTAAATGACACACTTCTGCAGCAATAAAATATTTTTCTCATTGTAGTTATTAGACTCTTCGAAAACTTCAAAGCAACTATTTTCTTGCAAAATTTTTTAGAATATAAGTAAAAAACAAAAAGAAACTGTGTGTGCGTGAAAATAAATTTATGGCTTTTATACTTGTAAATATTTTTGAAATTTATTATTAAAGTTGTTTAATAATAAAATTTATGATTAAAGCTGTTTAATAATAAATTTCGTACGATACTCTCTTTGCACTAAGCTGGACAGTGGCAAATATACACGTACAATATAAGTGTCATGTAGTAGTCAATTCTCGTTCTAACATTGTACAACGAAATTATACATCAGAAGCGATGTTCAGGATAAATGATCCCTCTCTGGTATATAGTACCTCGTTTACAATCACTACGAGACTTCCACCTGATGTATCTCTTCTCGATCTCCACCCCAGAAATTCGCATCCACTGCTGCCGCAGTGGCGCTCACGCTCGTTCGTCGTCTCGTGATGGCGTTGTGATGACGCAGACGGGGGTCGTTGTCGCCGTATCTCAGAGCGAATGAGGACGCCTGAGCCGCGAGACGAGCCTAACCAGGAAGCTGTCACTGACGCCGACGGCTGTTGGCGATGAAGACTCCACCTCCTTCTCCTTCTCTTGCAAGATGATCTCTCATACCCTTCGATTTCTCCAGGATTTCTCAGAAGACGTGATTGCGACGAATCCGGCGGTTTCAGTCACGCGGAAAAATTCGATAAAAATACGAATAAACGGATTACAAAAAGCTGTAAAATAACATATGAAGCGGAGCGAAAGAGCGCGAGAATTTAGACAAAGGATGGCGCCGCTCGTGAACAATCGTGACGTTGGCCGGCCAAGGCGCCGAGCGATTAGTCGATCGCAAGCGGAAATGCAGCAAAATTTAGAGCAAAGACAAAAATATCTCTGCTTAAAGGTATAATTAACCATTTTTTTATTCATTAGCTAAAATTGCCATGTTATAATGTAAAAATTATATTATAGTAGTAAAATACGCACAGAAATTTTTTTCCTCTCCCTCTTTTTTCGTATCTTTTTCTACGAGAAATTTATTGCTACACTTTTTACATTCTAAGTTATCCCCATTACTTGAGCGCGTCAAGGAAAACATTTTCCTCGTCAGAAGCTTCACCTATATTCCGCAGCCTTGCCACCCTTTTTGCCATCCCTACTACTCTCCCGTGACGTCACGGGATCGTGTCAGTAGGTCAGAACCTGGATACGTGACCTCCCCGAGTACGGTATACGTGCTCGTGTTTGCGTCATGCATCGGGTGTACAAGAATTAGAGAGTATTAAGGATACTCTGTATACACACAGAGACTGCACAATATTGCATCACAATGTCACCGCTTAGGGAAACAATCTGTTTTGGTTTGCAGAATGAACAGCGATGTTATTGCCGCGTGTAATATCGATGAAATTGCACAACGCGTGACTATTTGACTTATCGATTTGACGTAAACGTTGTTTCAAATCGAACATAAAATATCGAGAAAGGAAGAAAAGATTGAAAACTTACAATTTAAATTGCAATTACGATTGAAATTGTTACAATTGCGCAAAATTTTAATGAAAGGGAAAAATATTGCAAACGATTATTCGCATTTGGTTGGTTTTTATTTTGTCTTTGCGCGTAAATAAATTTTGCGCGCACAAAACGCGCGAGCAACGAATTACTCTCATCCGATTAATTTTCCATTATACGACGTTTTAGATGTTTTCTTTCGATAGAAGGTCAAAGTTTATGGAGTTGTGTGTTACGAGACTGTACAACGGATTATCACACGCTCATCAATTTCTTCCGCAGCGATACTTCCACAGAGCGAAATTTCCTAGCGTTTTATAGAAGAAGAGATACCGATGAGACACGCGCACAATTTATGATTCTTTTCAGCAAGTGCTTTTCTCGCAAATACGCTGTCTGTAAAACACTAAGCTTACAAGAACAAAAGAGAGAGAGAGAGAGAGAGCTGAAACAAGATTAATTAACGTTGTACGCTGACGTTATGTCGGAACATAAAGCAATAACGACGATTCGTCGAAATGCTATTAAAAAAAATGTTCCAAATATTAGCGTGTGCAAAATTAGAAATAAACCTTGAATTACACTTTTAAATTAAAGAGATGCGCGGAGACCCGATTGTAACTTGGGGCGCAGCCTAAAGCTAACTACGTGTGTGAATAACCCGATCGTTAACCAACCGCAGTGATTGCCGTCGCGCATTTTGATGAATCCGCAATTGATTGTAAGGACGAACCGGTCGGAGCTACCGACAAATTATCGACGAAATAAAGTGTGTACGAGCGATAATTAATGAAACGACGTTTACGATGTCCCGCGATAACGAGGCTTATCGTGCTGCACGCACCGCGGAAAGAACGAAAAAACAACGCGAACGCGAACGACGAGGAAAAAAAAAATACTTTTGCGATCGCTGCGGGCTCGATTAACATTCCTGCGCAGTGTCGGCTGCATTAATCATATACACTTTTCATTTGCGCGCTGGCACTGTCTGAATGAAACATTACATTCGACCACAAAGTGCCCTTCGCGCGCGCGCACGTTGTTCAAATCAGTGCATTTATCTGATTTGTAAATAGGAAACGTAGCACACGGCCTTTCTCTTTTTCTTTCTCTTTCTCTCTTTATATAAATATCTTATATAATTATTACAACTCATACAAAGTACACACAAGGAGCTAATCAATTTTTCTTACGCTTTTAACGTGCGAACTTATTTCTTTGTGTGTGTGTGTCTCGAGATATTGTACTCGACGCTCGTAACGAAACCATCAGAGATACTCCGCGATCGTCGCTTTCATCGAAAGTATCGGAGGGATCAAGATCGAGTAAGATGAGAGAGAGAGAGAGAGAGAGAGAGAGAGAGAGAGAGAGAGAGAAAGGAGAGAATCGATCGTGCTTATGAGAATGAGCGTCGCGGTATATATTATCCTGTCACATTGATTTATCTCTCGCCGGTCGCGATATGCTTCTGTGTTTTGTCCTAATGGGCAATAACGTGACGATGATCCGCGTAATTATTTCGCCGCGCTCTGTGCGCGGCCTGCGGGGGGAACGGAGCAAAAAGATGACGGAGACCTCGCCGCGGTCTGTGCAGCCACTGCACCACTGACCTTGGTCTCAAGTAACGCCGAAGTGATTCAGGAATTGCACAGGGACTTCTATCCAGCGCGCGCGTAACTTCCACGCTCCGGCATTGCAAAATCGACCGCGGCGTCGCACTCTCGAGCAGCAATTCCCTCGACGCTGCGCTGCTGGCTCGAGAACCGAGTCTTTCCAACGCAATCTCATAAAGTCTTGTTCTTTCGCGTACATCTGGCGGATTATAAACAGATAAAGAAACGTTGTTGTTTTATCGCAGCGCAGTTGTGACTTTGTCGTCTCAAATGAGATACGTTTGCGAAACTCTGGAAATTAGCGAGATTATATACGAATCCCAAGGTAATGTTTTTATTTAAGGGAAAAATATATAATTGCGCGTGTTATATTCACATGTTACAAATATTTTTCTTGCATTTATGTGTAAATGTTTTTATTACATTAAATTACGTACGGACGCCGATGAAATGTTAATATCATTTTATGGTCCGTGGGGATTGTTTTTGTTTCATAATACTAATAATGTGCGCGGCCACTTCGCTATAACAAATTATGCATAGATCATTATGTCAGCAGCGTTGCGGTTTCTGGGTGTGACGGTAATTATCGCGACAACGCACTTAATTGCCAACAAACCGCAGGTGTGTGCGCCGTTGCACTTTATATCCATTAAAGATTAAATAGTACGTCTCTAAAGTGATTTTATACTTTTCTTGTTATTAAACATGCACGCACATTATTCAGTTTATTAATTTCTTTTTCAACTTTATATGCCGACGATATCAATCTGTTTCTAATTTTGATTCGTCCGCACATCTCACGTTTCATTCTTAGAAGTTTGGAGTTGCCAGATTTTTCAAGTATTTTAAACCTATTCTAATCTTTCTCTTCTTTTTTTTTTCAGAACGCGCGTTCTGCGAAAGAACTGCATTCACGTTATTCCACCCCCGTTAATCATCTCAGACTTTGTTCCGGTAACGATGGAATTCGCGTGTGAGCCGCGTGTGAGTCATACGACCCATATCCGCGTTTTCGAGGCGCAGCCGGAGCGCGAGAGCTTTGTTCGGAATGGCGTTATCGCTCGTAAAGATAGCAACCACGAGAGGAACGCGCGAGTCCTCCGCCGCCGCGGAAGGATACGTAGGTGGTTACCGGAGGATCTGGTGGGGTATCAGGAGAACAGACCGCAGCTGTAGCGAGAGAAACGACGAGGAGAAAGGGAGAAATAAGAGAGTCCGCAAGAGACTCACAAGCGGGCCACAAGCGCGGTGAGTAAACGCTGCAACAAGCAGAAGAGGGAAGCCCGGCGAAACACGGGGAGCAGAAACGAGACGGAGAAAAAGACAGGCTCATGGTGGGGTTGGTTCACCAGCAGCTGAAGCACGTGGGCCCCGCTTCGTGTGTCTCGTTCGGTAGTCTCCTCAGTATCGCTCTCAGCCTGGCCGTGGAGGATCTTGGCACCGGATGTTCATCGGACCTGTCGCGGACTTGAAACGCCCGACACCGTCCTCGCGCGAGCGTCGATGATGTGACGACACCGAATCCCAGTCGTAAATCTGGACGCGATTGTTGCAAGCAGAGTTTTCGTGAATTCGGAAAAAGTCGAACGATGGCCCCGAAGATACTTCTGGCGTCTTTGCTCATCGCGATCTCGCGAGCTGTTCCGACGAGCTTGGCGTTATCGTCGGACGATCATCATCGGTTGTCCTCGAACAATCACAGGGTTCTCTGGCCGGTTTGGTATCGCGATAAGTTGCTTCATGCGAGGCAGCATCGCCAGGACGACGAACAACGTACCGTTCAAGAGACGACTACCGCAAAAAGTTCGTGGACACCGCAAATATTTACAACAAGACTGTCGCAGGTAACCTCGAGACATCAGGTGGACCATCGGACTCTAGATCAAAAGTTCAGTGGTGCTGTGGCAATGGCGGACTACGGTGGTACCAGGGCGATAGCGTACGCGGGTTATCACGGCAATCATCGGCATCAGCCGCGGGAGACGCAGAACAGCTATCAGGTGCCAACGACCGACGTCCCGACGTACACCAGGCATTATTCAGGGTAAGTGGTACATAGGTGATTCACATAAAAAATTTACATATTTATTTACATAGAAAAAAAACTTCTCTTCCAAACCTATTAAAGTAGTTAAACATATCACAGATATCAGTAGAGTAGTAATGGAACAAAACAAAAGTTGCGAAAAAGAAAAACGAGGAAGAAACGGGGAAAGCGGCAACACAATTACCGGTGAGGAAACAAGATCGATTCGAAGAAACAAGATAATTCGATACTCGAAAGTCTCGAGCGAGCAGCGCAGCCGTGATGCGCGATTACTCCGTCACATCACGGGAGGCACGTAAATGGAAGTGAATGAACCGCGTCGCGTAAATATACGGGGCCGCTAACGTGTCGCTGAATTACTATATTTACGAGCAATGAGCGACGCGGCGATGATGCACGATCCGGGGCGCAATAGCTGACGGAATAAGGCCGCGCGGCGCGAACCGCGCCGCGTTCAAAGGCAAGCCGCGAGCCGTTTAATTAATCGACCGATTAATTATCTCGCACGTAGTCGTTCTCTCGCTCCTCTGTCGCGTACAATTATTGGAATTGTCCGTTCGCGGACACCTTTTCACGCATGCAACGTGCGAATTAGTCGAAAAAAAAAAAAAAAAAAAAAAAAAAAAAAAAAAAAAAAAAAAAAAAAAAAAACTATCCGGATAAATGACACTCTCTTGTCCTGTTTTAAAGACCCCGAGGTGCCAATTAACCCGATTCGTCGTCGAACGCGAAACTTGACTCTCGCAAAATTTTCTTCCCGCGAGATATTTGAATACGCAAGTAAAAAAAAAACATCGTGTGGAGCTAGTCTTTTCGTAATTGTGAAAATTTCAGGTTTTAACATAGTTGATTGCACAGCTCTCTCTCTCTCTCTTAGCAGGTGTAAATACTTACAAAACACACGCAAGAAGTGCGTTTCACACATTTGCCGATAAATTCGCGCGATTTTCATTGGAATTTTGAAATATTTCCGAGCAAAGTCACGAGATGAATGTGTCATTTTTTTTCTCAAAACTGACATTAAACATTTTCTTACTCGCACCTCTCGCCTCGTACACCCGGCCATTAAGAGCAAATCGCGCCGCACCGCTTTTATCACCTCCTGACAGCCGGGAGAGATCATTTTGCTCGCCAAGCATGATTCGATGATTGCTCGTCGGAAAGGCTTTACGGGTGTTCACGCGTCAGAAAGAAAACAAAACTCGCACCCGTGGCAAATATAAATATCGAAGAAAGAGTAAACTGGCACCCGCGCGCGCGCGCGCGCGCGTGTACGTGTGTGTGTGTTAATATTATTGTACAGCGATTTCGTCACCCTCATTTTGCCTCGTGTTTTTTGTTACGTTTGTTGTCGTAATTACACATGCCTCGGTGAACAAAGGCAGACAGAACAAACAAAGCGATGATTCAGCTTCAAACACTACGTTTTTGCTGAGAATGATGAGTTTTATACGTTTCTCTGGTTTTACAATATATCAATCAATTTTAATTACCAATCTCGAGTTTAATGTATGTGATTAAATACATTGATCAAGCATGTACATATTAATGTACGGCTAAATAAATAATATTAATAGCCGCGAATAATATTGCAATAACCTCATTTGGTTGTTATTGAGCTTCTTGCTCATAATTTATGTTAATCATATAGCTGCGACGAGAGATACATGCTCGAAATTGTTTTTCACATTATAATGACTGACAAAATCTCATCAATCAGACAATGGATTAATATTCACGTGGAATCTCTAGTTACTATTTAAGTCTGTGAATGCAATAATTTGGTGTTCGCGTACCTGGCAGTCGCGATCGAGTTACCCAGATGCGTGCCTCAGGCTAAAGAATCTTGTAAACCTGTCCGATGATTCAGTGTGTGTGCGCATCGCTCGCTCTCTCTCTCTCTCTCTCTCTCTCTCTCTCTCTCTCTCTCTCTTTCTTTCTCACTCGCTCTTTTTTTTTCCTCCGTATCATCCTGCACACACGATCGAACTCGCGTGCACCTCGCGCGGAGAAGATTTCTCATCGATGCGGCTGATGCGCCGGATCGTGTCATCGATTTAAACCCATTGGCGCGACACTCATAACACTTAAAATGCGATTTGTCGATTGAACGATCGTTGAAGAAATTTGGGGATGACCAATACGCGACGCGCGTCGCTTCATAATTTCGGTACTTAGGACCGTCTATATGTTTTGACTGTGATGTACGCAAAGATCAAATTCTTGGCTGACAAGGAAGATTAAAATCATGAAACGTACGCGACCAGCATGAACTTGCTCTGTGCTTCAATCTCTCTCACTCTCTCTTTCTTTCTTCGTAATTAACAGCTATTGTTGTACGCGCTTATTGTTCGAGCACGGCAAAGAGATATGGACCGCGGCGCACCGTCGGCCACGTTTTGTCTCGATAATTTATGACGCTTGATCCGCGACACACCGTACGCGTGATCGATGAGCGATGGGGTCATAAAGAGACAGGTGCCGTTTCGTCGACGTGATGCGTTCTCGGGAAATGTAAACGCGTTCCATCATCCCAGTCGGAAACGTTAGCGGTCGTTTCTCAACGCGTCACACATGTGAAGCTGTCATATATAATCGCGGATAGAACAGACCGAATAAATAATATGACAAGCGTAGCATCCACGTCTTCATTTTCCGTCGAATTGTATGTTTATAAAATAGACATTATTTGTTACGTATACACGCGTTGCACACAAATTGTGTAATTACAAATTTCATGTTTATGACTTTCGAAGATGACGATGACGTTGCATGCAAGCTTCCGGAAGCGTTTGACTGATGTAACGTCAGAACAAGCTTAAATTCATTACTGTAGCGGCAGCAGCAGCGGCACTGAACATCAAAGATCCATTAATTATCGAAAAGTTAAGGAAAATCAATATCGTTCTAGGTATCGTCTAGCTAGAGCTTTCGAAAGTTTCGCAACTTCCGAACCTCCGATGTGATAACATCGTATATGTACCTCAACTCATGACCTTATATAATGCTTATACGTTGGGCGAAGGCCGCGAGCATCGATCGCACGTTGGATCAAGGGAAGACGTACAATTTCGGTGGACGTGCAAGCACTCGACATTGAAATCCTATCGCTATCAAATGCCGATTCTTCGGTCTTCCGCGACTAAATCCAATTGGGAAGTAACGAAACGGAAGAGGCGTGAGATTTGCTTCGATCTTGAAATCAAAAATTAGTCAGCAGTTACTTTGTAGAAAAACATTGCTAAATTGTTTTAGAAAAACCAGGTTTTACAACAAAAATAAATTTAATATTGCCAAAATTTTATTCTCATATAAGATCAAATAATGTTTACACGTATATCAGACACTTACGTTTGCGTATATCAGACACTTACCAAAGGGAAAAACATAATATACAGCGTATCGAATCGACTATGGCTTTATATCGCGAGGCAGAAAACAAAAATCGAGGGATGAAGGATCAAAGTGGATGCTCGCGGCTCGATCCTGCCACGTTCGATGATAGCGGCTTCATGTAAATCCATTAGCGTGAACTTTTATCCGCAGGCTGCGGACGCGATGGGTGAAGAGGTCAAAAGCGAGAGAAGAGAATAGGCAGATAAAGCGCGAGCCGCAGGTACACGTGCGTGTTGATGTAGACGCCATGCGCTCGCACGAATCAATATAGGGACGCGGTCACTTCCGTTGTTAGATATATATTCAAAATGTACAGCGCGCATATAAACATATAAATATTAATTTGAAACTCATAAAATATAACCAAAGAGTTTTTACAGTTTTATTACGCTTGTCATTTCGCGATAATCATTTACATACCATTCACTTTGCTTGATTAAGAAACGACAGCGTGAAATCTCCGAGCATCGGAATCAAGATAAAATTCACGACCTCGTTTATCTTGTTGGAAGATCTCCGCGAGTTTGCTGTCAATCACATTGGATACCTCGCGTTACAAAATACGCAACATTGGTTCGATTAACTTCACTTAGAAAGTTCGCGCTTCGCAATATCGCTTGCTCAACCTAGGTCCAACTGTAGCGGTATTAATAGACAATTATGGGGAAGGGAGGATTTTTATGGACGACCACACGACGGGAGGGCAATCGCGCGTCCAAGAATGTAAACTGCATCCACGAAAGAAAACGAGCGAAGCTCGCGGACGATTCCGCTTATGGAGTTGCAAGAGAGTCGGGGTTTATTTTTTTTTTTTTTTTTTCCGAACCGACGAATTGCCGATGTTTGTTCTGGGAACGATCCGAAACGAACAGCCGTCGAACAGAAACTGGTTCTCGATTCACATTCAGGAACAATGACCACGGGATTCCCAGTCAAATTTTTAAAACTGTGACACGCAGAATTAATATTCTCGGATTGTAGAGATAAAATTACATAAAGTTGGTTACAAACGCAATTGTATTTTAATTATTACAAATGTTAATGTTTTCTTCTTTTTAAACCAATATATATAATGACGTACTGCGAGTGGTAATATTTTATCTTCCTCACAGTTTCTCATTATTATTTAGATAAGAAAAGTTTCCACACGGCAGAGTCATTATTTCTAACAATGTTACACGGCATCGTAATGTTTGAGAAACTCGATTATTCAACATATCAATAGACTTTCACCGTGAAGGCTACGCAACCGAGGCGGGATAATGGCATAAACATCGATGCAATTTGACTATAATGACACCTGAAAAATCGCTATGCAAAACACTCACATTGTATATCTCACGTTGATTTTTCGCGGAATTAAATGGCAAGACGCGTCGTCGTGTGCGCCGCATCGGCGCTTGCAACGCGCAGAAAACGAAGCACAGGAAGCGGTAATAATGAGAGACGCCGCGCATCTTATTGGCACCGCGTAGGCGCATAATTACTTCACCTGAGCAGTAACCCGCGTAACCCGTCATCAAGTAATTTTGTAATTTGGAAGTTTTGCGCTGCCTGCCCGCGGCTCCCGTGGCATCGTCGCGCATTCCGTCGAGAAAACG